TAAGGTTTTCTTTTTCTGTGCTAAGCTATAAAAAATCTATTAACCAATTTATAATGGATTTTATTAAAGTTAAATACTTATTTAATAATAATTAATAACTATTTATAATCAAAATTAACTTAAATTATATTAATTTTGTTATTTGAGTGTTGAAATATTAAAATCACCGATTATTGACCGAAGAAACCCAATAAATGACCGAGCGTTCTCCAATTAATTCACCGCTCAAATAATATTATAAGTAATTTTGTAAACTACATATATTTAATTCAATTTATGCAGTACTTTTGAAGTATTAACGACATCTTTAACAAAACTAAACATATAATATAATTTTAAATCGTACTTTTTTATAAAATAATATCAATAATTAACATAAAGTCACATTTCTTTAGGTCACATATAATCACAAATTCATTTTGATGATGATAATTCTTCTGATTCACTTGAAATTTTTTTATTCTTTTTCTTTTTTTCAATTAAAGCTTTTTTATTAGCTTGTAACTCTTTTTTATTTTTTTAATTGATTATCAATTTTTTCTTCTAATAATTCGTTCTTTTGATATAACCGTTCACTAAAAAAATTAGAATAAAATAAAATTTAATAATCAAAAAAGATTTTAAGTATTATTTTAATTATAAATATCCATTTTATAATGATTATTTTTATATTTACAAAATATTTAATGACTAAAGTACTTTAAACACTTGACAGATTTAATTTTGAAGTTAAGAATAAGTTAGTATTATAAATATACGGTCATTAATTGGGTTGTGATAAAATCAGAGGGTCTAATAAATGACCGAATGAATTTTTTACTGGGTCAGAAGGGCTTCTGACGGATCCAATAGTTGACCGGTCTTAAAATAATATTGAAACTTATAATTTAACTTTATTTTTTCAAAAAAGTTGGAATCTGATCTTTCATTAACATAATAAAACTAAAATATTTTATATTATGCCGATAAATATCACTAAATTAATGATGAAATGCACTCACTCTCCAATTGTACGCTAGTTATTTTTGACCGCTTTATGGCTGGTTGCGTTGTAAACAAACTCACAATATTTTTTTAAAGCTATAATCACTGCGCAATTAATTGCGTAATTTTTTATTATGATGATTAAATGCCATATATTGTTATTTTAATACTTTAAGAAAAAAAAAAAACCCTTGTAAAATATTAATTAATTAACTTTTTTATACATCGGTCAACTAATTGGTAACCGGTCAACAACTGGTGCATTTACCCTATCTTCAATCATTTCTTTCTTTTAAATTTTTTAATCTTTTAACACTTTATCCTGCCCTTAAATATACTGCTGCTATGTAATGTTTATTAAATTTTTTTTTAACAATTAAATTACAAGTCAAAAATAACTTTAACAAAATTATATGTATAATTTTTTTAATTTTCAACATTTAAAATTTTTCTTTTCATTTTTTTATGATAATTTTTTTAATAAAAAAATTTTCAATAAATCTTTATATTACATTATAATTACCAGTTTATTATATAAAATTATGAAAATAATATTTTAATCTTATAATTTTACGGGACCTTGAACACCAATTGCGCGTACCTAAGGTAGCAAAGCCGATTCGTATTCGTATTATATAAATATATAAAATTAATGACCATAGTGAAGTTAGTTTACTATCGTAATTCTCGGTATTAATCGAAGAAATGAATCCTGATTCATCATTGGTTTAAAATTAATGTGCATCATATAAAAATTAAGTTAGCCGACGTTTTTAATTTTTTTTTTTAATAATTAAATTGGAAAAAAAAATTTTTTTAAAATTGCACTTACAGTTATTAAAAAGTTTTTTACAAGTGAAATTTTTTTTTATATTCTTTTGTAATAATTTTTTCAATAAAAAAAAAATTCTAAAAATTTTTTTAAATGTCGGCTAACTTAATTTTCATAAAATTTTAATAATTTTTGTTTTTTTTTTATTAAAAAAAAAAATTTTCATTTATAAAAAACTTGAAAAACTATAAGTGCAATTTTAAAAAGAATTTTTTTTTTTTTACAAACAACTGTTTTTTTCGCGTGAAATAAAAAAAAAATGTCTATATTACCTGTCAAAATTTAACATCAGCGCCACCTGGAGTTTTTACTCTGAAATTATTAAACAAGTATATTTATTATCATTTCAACATTTCAAAACGTTTGTTGATGTTTTTAAAACCTGATATAATTATTTGTAATTATTAGTGTAAAATAATTAATATAAATAATGGAAGAAGATTTAATGAATGTTGATTTGTACGGAGAGCTTGAAATTGAGTCCTCTGCAACTGAAAAAGAGGTAAGTAATTAAATAATTATTTGTTTTTTTCTAACCTCAAATTTACTGAAACAAATTTGTTCCAAAAAATTGCATTTATAATTTTCTTTACAAATTATTTTTAAAAAATTGCATTTTTAATTTTTTACATGTCAATTTTTAAAAAAAAATTTTTTTTGCTATAATTTATTTGTCAAAAAAATAAAATAAAATTATTGAATATTTTCTAAATTAATTAACATGTAAAATTAATTAATTAACTTTTTTTTTTAGATAAAAACAGCTTACCGTAAAAAAGCGCTATCATGTCACCCGGACAAAAATCCAAACAATCCATCAGCAGCAAAGTCATTCCATCGACTGTCAAGAATTTTGGAAATTTTGATTGACAAATCAGCCAGGGTAAATATTTAGATATATAAAATTAATTAATGTATTAATTTATTTATTTGTTTATTTATTAATTTAACAGGCAGCGTATGACAGAATATTAAACGCGAAAATTCAGGCAAAGCTAAACAATGCAAAGCTTGACTCAAAGCGCAGAAAATTAAAAGAAGACTTGGAAGCTCGTGAAGAAGCTTATCGACTGTCGCAGTTGAACAAGCAGCAGAGTTTCAAGACAGATGAGGAAGTTTTCAAAGCTGAAGTTGAGAGATTGAAAAAAGAGGGCTCGAGACAAGTTCAGGAGGAGATTGACTTGATGAACAAGCAAATTTACGAGCAAGTTCATGGAAGTAAGACTGTGGGTGTTAATGATACCAGAGTTAATATCAGGTGGAAGGCTGAAAAAAATGATCCTGATAATGGTGGGTACAATGAGAGCAATCTTCAGCAAATTTTGTCAAAGGTAATCTATACGATTAAGAGAATAAGAAAAATTTTTTTCTCTAGGTACATAATTAAGAAATGACCTTGTATCTTGTGAACTATTGAAATTTTTAAAGATATAAGCTCATCCTGACATTACACTCATCAAGACCTTTCATTTGAGCACCCACATCAATTTTTTATATATTTTATATATTTATATATATGTATATATGAAAAATATATAAAAATTCATGTGGGTACTTAAATGAAAGGTCCTGATGAGTGTAACATCAAGATGAGCTTTTATCATTAAAAATGTCAATCATTAAAAAATGACCTTGTAACTTGTGAACTATTGACATTTTTAAAGATATAAGCTCATCCGGCTGGGTACTTGAATGAAAGGTCTTGATGAGTGTATCATCGGGATGAGCTTATATCTTTAAAATATATACTATATATATGTATATATGAAAAATATACCAAAAATGCATGTGGGTACTTGAATGAAAGCTCTTGATGAGTGTAATATCAAGATGAGCTTATATCTTTAAAAATCTCAATAGTCAAGAAAGTACAGTGCAATTTAACAAAATTCATTATTTAATAACGCAAAATTTTATTTATTTATTTTTCTAAAATTTTATAGTATGGAGACATTGTTGCCATTGCAATGCTAACAAAAAAAGGACGCGCACTAGCTGAGTTCAAGGACAGCGAAGCAGCTAAAATGGCAGTTCAAATAGAAACAGGATACACGAAAAATCCCCTGACTCTCAGTGGCCTCTGGGAGTCTAAATCCAATAATTCCTCCCCAGCTGATTCATCAACTACAAATTCATCTATCAGACAGCGACCAACTTCTCAGCCAAGCTCCGCGCTGAGTTTCTCTTCAGCTCCGGATATTTTCACAAAATTAGATGCTGATTTTGAAAATTCAGTTTTAAATAATTTAAAACGAGCTGAAGAGCGCAAGCGGATGATGGACCAGATGAAGGACGACGACTCTTGATACTTTTCATTTCCAAGTAATTAAAATGTACATTTTTATTTTTAAAAATACAATTTTAAATTATTATTATAGATAATGACTTTGAAGATTATTAAAATAGATTTTACGACCATCAAAAAAAAAAAAAAATTAATTATTTTTATTTTTATCATTTTTATAATGAGTACATTAATTAATGTCTAATGTCAAAGTTAATTATTTTTTAAAAATCTATCTCTTATTAGCACATGCTGCTTGATAAAAAAAAAAATTAAATGCAATTTAAGTTGAAAATTACATCAATTAATTTTTTTGAAAGTCTTTTTTTTTTTTACAATTTTAGAGTAGGGGAGAAGGGGATTAATTGAACCAAAAAAAGTTTAGCAATTTTTTATTCGAATTAAAACTAAATATTAATTTTTTTTGGAATGGTTAAGTCCACTATCATTATCAATAAATTAGTCAATAAACAATGTGAATTTTTAAAAATTATTTATCCAAACGCGTCTACTGGTTCAATTGACCCCCGCTCGGGGGCAATTGAACCACTGCTTGGGATCAATTGAATCAATAATATTTAAAACTCAAACCCTAACTTTTAATAAATAATATATTAATTGTTACTTGCTAATATAACTATTGCACATTTTTAATGCACAGATATTATATTAAATAAATTAAAAATCAATTTAAAAATAATTTTCATTATAAATTCAGTTCATCAAATTGTTAGGTTATTTCCCTGAGTATTTTTCACGTAGAGTCAAGATGCAAGTGCATGTCCCATGCTTCTTTGTATGGTTCAATCGTCCTTGGGACTGCTGGTTCAATTGACCCCATATAATTTTATAACAATTAATAGTAAATAATAAATAAATAAACTATTATATCACTATAAACAAAGTTGAGGATTATAAAGTATAGGTATATACAACTACTACAATTCAAACTTTATCAATTAATTCAAAAATTGAAATATTATCAAACAATTTGTCAGCAGCCGAAAAAAAAGTTTACATGCCTAAAAATAAATAAAATCTCTATTTTTCAAAATTTATTAATCGCAATGATTTCAAATTTTGATCATATCCGAGTTTAACATAGAATCTAATTCTAAGAGCATGAAGCGTTTTTTTGATTTTTTAAGTCGAGTGGTTCAATTGACCCCCTTTTCTCCTACTATATTTTTTATTAGTCAATTAAGTGTTAATAACTATACAATAGGTAAATTTTTCAGAAATTTCCTCAAAAATGTTATTAATTAATTTAAAAATTAATTTTAAGATAACGAAAGTCCGTATTATTTTTTTATAGCCATTTTTTACACTAGGGTACTTGGATCTCCTTAAAAATAGTTTTTACGATAAAAAACTAATTGCTTTTACTATCATTTTTATAATAAGAAAATTTAAAAATTTATCTCTCTTATCTTGCTCATTAAAAAAAAATCACCTCCAATTTAACTCTAAAATTACATTAATTAATTTAAAAAAAACTCTTTTTTTTTCACAATTTTATAGTACTTAACTTACCCTGTAAAGTTGTGCGTGATTTTTTACCAAAATGAATTCAATAAGCCTTTTAATAATTTTTATAAATATAATAATTACAAAATCTTGTCCTACAAAAAAAATCTGCTCGATATATATTTACAAAAATTACGCAGATCGTAAGAATATATTATCACTGTTACCAGACAATCATTTACTTGGTCAATTATCTTTAATTGGAACTCACCAATCAATGACATTTTCTTCTTCTGATATTAAATTAAGAAAACAAGAATTGAACATTACCGAACAATTGAACCATGGTGTTAGAGTATTTGACATTAGTGTGCGTATTGAAACAAATTACTTTAAAATTTATTACCAAAATCAATACTTAGAAGCTTCATTCAACTCTCTAGTCTACGAAATCAACAAGTTCCTCAAGAAAAACTCACAAGAATTTGTAATTTTGATAATAAATGTCGACCATGAAAAAAAAATAAATTCAGAAAATATTTTAAGTCCTTCTTACTGCGAAATATTGAATAATTATCTTGGAAAATACATTGGAGGAGAACGAATGCACTCTAAATGGTCGTTTGATGACAAGCTTCACAGTTTAAGAGGAAAAATATTACTAGCAACTTATCAAGTTACCTTTGCAGAGTGCGCTGTTTGGTTGGGCGCCAGATGCTTGATGACGGACAAGCTTAAGTTTGTTGAAAATAGTTTTCTTTACAGTCATGGGAATTATCAAGAAGACAATATTGATTACAAGTGGAAGAAATATATGAAATTTGTAGCAAGTGATCTTTTTGATTACTATCCATGTTTCATTTATGATCTCAGTATTTATGATGAGATTCATTACTCACAAGGCGCTGCCAAGTACGGCGGGTTTGATGTTAATGGACAATGCTTTGTACCGATGAACTACAGGATTGATAATTATTGCCGGGGCGATCACAAGTCTGCGTTTAATATTTTTATCGTTGATTATCCCACTCAAGAAGTTATTGATCATATTAATGGATATAATTCTGACTACCACAATCCATTTGAGATAGCATTAATGTGATATTAATAATAACTAGCAACCTTGCAGTCACTATGTAACTTTTGAAATGTAAATAAATGAAATTTTGTTTTATTAACCCTTTAGAGTCCGAGGATCTTGAAACGTCTTCGCGTGAGAGTAGTGGGGAAAGCGCAAATCCATAGTAAGACCCGAGAGTAGGGTTTCAAGGTCAGACTCTAAAGGGTTAAATAATGAATTTTGTTAAATTGCACTGTACTTTCATAGATATTGACATTTTTTAAGATATAAGCTCATCTTGACGTTACACTCGTCAAGAGCTTTCATTTGAGTACCCACATGCATTTTTGATATATTTTTCATATATACATTTATATATATATATATTATATATATTTTAAAAATATAAGCTCATCCTGATATTATACTTATCAAGAGCTTTCATTTGAGTACCCATATGCATTTTTGATATATTTTTCATATATACATATATATAATATATATAAATATATGAAAAATTCATGTGGGTACTCAAATGAAAGGTCTCGATGAGTGCTATGTCGGGATGAGCTTATATCTTAAAAAATGTTAATTTTTTACAAGATACAAGATGATTTCTTAATTATGTATCTAGAGATGTATCTTAACTACTTATCTAATAAATTGATTATTAGTGAGAATGAAATAAAACCATGAAAAGGCACAAATTCAATAAGTTAAGACCTTTGCAATGACACTAAATTTCACTAAAAAAAATAGATTTTCTATATGACTATCCTGGAAACAAAATTTTTATTATTCTCTTAATATAGATTAAATATCACTGAAATTTATGTTTAAATCATAAAAAATTTTATTTAAAGTACCTTTAAATTTTTGTTCTGAAAAACACACCTAACCTTAAAGAAAAAACTATTAAAAGTAATTATTATTAATTATCTAGTTATTTTTAAATTAATAAACATTTAAATTAAAATATATGTGATGAAGGATTAGATAGAAGCTATATTTAGTAAAATAGCGGTATATTTTTTTTTAAATCTGGCGCCAATATAAATATTTATAAATTTCGCCGTAGGATGGCGTTACTCCAAAATGACGTCACTATCATTTAAGATTTTAAAGAAGAAATGTTTAATTTACAAAATTACCCAAAAAAAAAATCAATTATTAAAAAATATTTTTCATTTAATTATCTAAATAATTAATTGAACTTTTAAATAATACTAAATTACAAGTTATCTATTTATCCACCTTTAAAATCATAAAATAATTTAATTTAACATCAATAACTTCCGCTTTAAATCATTTAAAAAGTGAAGTAAATACTTCCTAAGTCATTAAACAAATAAAATTCTTACTAAAATTATCAAATTATTAATTTGTCTAACATTGACTCAAATATCCGTGGAATGTTGTTCTAAATCAGAACCTGAGCGTCTAAGACCACCCGCAGTTCCAGGATTTATACCTTCAGTGTTATGTGGTCACAAATTCTTCAAGGAGTACAAAAAAAGTGGAAATTTTATCTCTGAATTGCCAGACGATAGAAGAATTGGAGAATTGTCAATAGTAGGCACTCGAGAATCAATTTCTTATTTATTAATCGATGACATTGAAAACCGAAAAAGACAAGAGATAAATATCAAAAATCAATTAGATTCTGGTGTGCATTTTTTGGATATTACTCTATACGTCGATTCTGGAATAATAATGGTATCTATCGGAGATATTTATATCGACAAGGCTTTCGGCGAATTTATCTTCGATGTTAATTTATTTTTGAGCTATCATAGGCTTGAATTAGTGATGATAAAATTGAAACAAATGTTTAGTAATAGCAAACCCTATGTTAGCGACCTGATAAATAAGTTCCGGGAAAATAATAACGGAGGATCCCGTTTGGTAACCAATTGGGGTTTGAATGATACTCTTGGAATGCATCGAGGAAAAATATTGCTTGCTAGCGAAGATAATTTGTTAGAAAACTGTACATTTTCCTTGAAAACCTGCTCAAGATTCGATAATCTCAACTATGCTAAGATTAATAGCGACAATTTAGACACTTATGTTGATCATGAATGGACGGATTATCTGGAAATGGTTAATAACAGCTTCAATGATGAGTATCAATCCAATATCTATGATCTAAGTGTTAAAAGTTACCATTTTCCGGTTATAAATGTATCAAAATACGGCGGGTACCACACTGGAGTTGTTAACATTGCAGAATGCGTCAAGTCAATTAATTTCAAACTTTGGAAATATTACCCTGAAAGTAATTCAGAGGAGGTTAATGTTGTAATTGTGGACTATGTGATGCAAGAGGTGGTCAAAACTCAAAGAAATGAAATTTGAAAGGAGCGATGACACACGAACTAAGTCAGGAACCGATATGCAGCCCGCAAGCTCAGAGCTTTTATATATAAGCCCTAGTGCCGGCAACTGGCGATTGCGATTCATCCCCTCGTTGAACTCGTAACCCACCACACTCGAGTCAACCAATAGAGGGTAGTTCCATCTCCTCTTTCCTCCGACGCTTTTCCTCGCTCCTCGGTGAGTAGAGCTGGTAACCCTCTTTTAAAACTTTTGAATCCATTGACTCGAGCCACAGGTTCCACAGGTGCCCTAAGGTACAAATCAAAAGTCAACTATCTTTATTATTCTTCAATCACCTTAGATCTACTTCATTTAACTTTATTTTTTTTACTCTACTTGCAGCTTACATGCATTCTATTTTATTTAGTTGTGGTAGTTACTTATGTAACTTCTGGGTTAATTAGTTCATTACCTCGGGCAATTTTATCTTTAATATTATCGATGAATTTTACATCCGTCCAGAGTTTTACAATAAATATATTTACAAAAAAAAAATATTTTTTTAAACTGAAGGAAATAAAAATTTTTTTTGTTGGAAAAAAATTTTCTAGATTTGACAAAATAATTTTGGATTAAAATTTATAAGAATCTAAAATTAGTTTGTTCTTTTTAAATGTAGAAACAATTTTTTATAACAAGAAAATTAGTGTGGAAAAAATTTTGATTGAATGTTAAAAATATTTATTAAAATTTAATAGATTAAATAATTGTCTTCACATAAATTAAATTATTAATAGTTAATAAATTCTTCTATCAGTGTAATAAAACATTTTTAAATTAGAAAGCTCCGCTTTGATAAAAAAAAAAATCAATTGTTTGATTTTTGAGCTAAAAATTCAAAAGTTATATTAAAAAAATTATTTAGAAATTTTTCAAGTACAAAAATATGTCAAAGTTCTCACTATATATATTATTGCTAACATTTTTGAGCTTTTCGAGTGTTTTTAGTGAAGAAATTTACAAGAAATTTCTATAGAAAAAGCAACGCCAACTGTTGATGATATTTTTAACTATGCACTGGGTTAAAATTTATCGAAAATCTTTCGATTGATTTTTCAGGAAAAAATTATAAATTTATATCAAAAAAAGGATTGAGAAATTTTTAAATGGCTGTAACTTTTTTTAAGCTCGATTTTGATTTGCTTGCCGACATTCGACGCTATTTTTTAAGTACTAAAATAGTTTTTAAGCTGTTGAAAAGATGGATCGAACAATTTAAAAGTTATCTCAAAAAAAGGAGTAGAATTTAAAAATTGGCTAGAATTTTTGAACTTGTCGTTGGATTTAGACTTGCTTGGCGGTAGACTTAGTTTTTTAAGTCTAAAAAAAGTGTCTCTGTCTGGACGTTGATTAGTCAAATATTTATAAAGTTATTTAGAACAAAAGTTAAAAAACAATTGTATTTTGTTGGTGATTTATTTGTTTTTGATATCTTTTTCTCGGGCAAAGTACAATTGACTAAAATCTAATCAAATCGAAGTCTCAATCAACACTTTCGAAGGCCGTGGAGCTCATCTCGAGAAGGTTCGATTCCTCCTGAAGATATCCTACGATAAATTTTATTTACATGTTTACACACGGCCGGACGTCCAGCCGGGAATAGTCGGATCGGCTTCCTAGTCGCTCAAAACCTGGAAATCTGATTAAAAACTCATTCTCTAAATCGGACCTCAATAACCTCCTACTTTTCAAAATTATTCTTTTTCAAAGCATGAAGTTAAAAAACAGTTACCAGTTATGACAATCGTTGAACTCGGCCTTTTGATAAATTCACACCAGAAAGTGTTTATCAGCCGAATAATGGCCTTTCAATATAATTTTGTATTCAGATATCAAACTTTGATATGTTTGACATATATTTGCATTGTACTTGCCCGCCAGGGCGAGTAAAACTTTATTTTTCTCTCCCCACTTTCTATAAAAAATAGAAAATAATTAATCTTATAAATCAGGATATATTTTTGGAGAAAAAAAAGGCAGTAAATTGATTATATTTCTTCATTGCCCAGCAAATAAATCATAAAAGTGAATCACAATGTACGTAGGTGTTGAGAGCAAATAATCCATGAATTTTTTCAATTTGTATAAACATATATATTTTATTTCAACGAATTATAGCTTTTGTTAATTAAATTGCTAGTGATTATTTATTCTCTGTAGATACTTTCAGCAGATGATTTATTTAGATTTAATTACGAGTTTCATTACCCAATTACTGGACACATTAAACTTGAATTAATTATTTATGAGTTGAACCGACTTTTGAATAATTAATTTAATCTAATTTATTGTTAAGAGAAAAAGTTGTGCAATAGATGTTTGAGATAAATCGTGAAAAATGATTAAGTTCCCATTTAAAAGCTCTCTTAAGCATGTGACTAATCAATAACTTTTGTGAGTTAAAAAAAAAAACTAGCTTGGTATGGATTTGTATAATTTGTTTTATCCTACTCATTTCCTTTCCTATTAAGGATATTTAGCTATTTTATCGTCTAAATACTCAACTCCGTGGCACACTTTTTTTTTTCTCCAATAAAAATCGATTCGTGACGTACTTGGGCATGGATTAAATGAATTATTGCCGGATGTCTTTAACTGATTGATGGCCACGGCCATTCTTACTTTTTTCTTCTTCCTCTATTTCAATTTTTAATCCATTGATCATTATCATTACTCGCGGGTTATAAAATGGATTTGTTCTGTCTAGACAATGCTGATTTAAAGATTTTATTAGAAAACTTTGAACTTTTATTGAGTTTTGACTTTTAAATTCAATCTTTAAAACAGTTGAGCTTCAGGCCATCCCTAAAATTCATATAAAAAAAGGAATAATTTTAAAAAGTAGGAAGTTTTGAGCGACTAGGAAGCCGATCCGACGATTCCCGGCTGGACGTTCGGCCGTGTGTAAACATGTAAATAAAATTTGCCGTAGGATATCTTCAGAAGGAATCGAACCTTCTCGAGATGAGCTCCACGGCCTTCGAAAGTGTTAATTGAGACTTCGATCTGATTAGATTGTAGTCAATCGTACTTTGCCCGAGAAAAAGATATCAAAAACAAATAAATCACCAACAAAGTACAATTGTTTTGTTAACTTTTATTCTAAATAACTTTATAAATATTTGACTAATCAACGTCCAGACAGAGACACTTTTTTTGGACTTAAAAAACTAAGTCTACCGCCAAGCAAGTCTAAATCAAACGACAAGTTCAAAAATTCTAGCCAATTTTTAAATTCTACTCCTTTTTTTGAGATAACTTTTAAATTGTTCGATCCATCTTTTCAACAGCTTATAAACTATTTTAGTACTTAAAAAATAGCGTCGAATGCCGGCAAGCAAATCAAAATCGAGCTTAAAAAAAGTTACAGCCATTTAAAAATTTCTCAATCCTTTTTTCGATATAAATTTATAATTTTTTCCTGAAAAATCAATCGAAAGATTTTCGATAAATTTTAACCAATTTAAAGAAATTCTTCAAAACATTTTGCTACTTAAATTTATTTATTTCTAAACAGTAAATACCTCCTTGATGCCCTCGTGCGTCAGCACACACTTTCTGCTCGTTGCGCCAACCTTCCCACCCAGTGCATAGTTAAAAATATCATCAACAGTTAGCGTTGCGTTTTCTATAGAAATTTCTTGTAAATTTCTTCACTAAACCATTTAAAAATTTCTAAATTATTTTTTTGATTTTATCAAAGAGAAAAATAACTTTAAATATCACTTAAATTTTTTTCCAAGATGTTTTATGTATGATGTACAAATGAGATTTTTTTATTTATTATGATAATATCACATTATTCAAATGATTTGTAATAGATAAAAATTTACATTCTTCTTGAATAAAATTATCGTTTGTGGTGATATTAAATAAAATGGATCATGATATTTGAATTATTATCATCATTATCTATTTATTGTTAAATGATACATACATTTTTGTTAATAAAAATGAATAACCCACTTTTAATATCCTTACATTAATCTATTTTATTATTCAATAATTAAATTAGTAATTTAAAAGTGATAAATTACTTGAAAAATTTTATAATTATTGACAAAAGAAATATTTAATATCTCTTTAAAGAAATAAAGTATAAAGAAAATAAAAATTATTTATCTTAGTTAAAAAGGATACAAGATCCGAAGAGCGTTTACTATACGTTAGAAGCGTGAAATCGATCTTATACGCGAATAATGTTTGCCATTGGATTGAATCCTTTTCAAGAGCAGAGTTGTCGAGTGGTTCAATCGTAAAATTTTATTTTTTCTCTGTATTTTATTTATTTATTTATTTAGTACACTTTTCACTCAAATAAATCACATTTTATATTTTTTTATATAATTTTTAATTTTTTGCATTAAGGTTTGATTCAAAAAATTATAATTAAATTTTAATGTAGAAAAAAAAATGCATAATTACATTAAATTATAGTTAGATTAATTTTTTTTAAGAATATTTTAATTTTTTTTTAAGAACATTTTTTTTAAATTCATTATTGCAAAGAAAATTTTTAAAAAATTGCTAAAATTATTAAAGCAATTTTTTTTTATTTATTTTAATTGTTTTTTAGTAAAAAAAATATTTTTTTTTTAATAATTTAAAAAATTGATTTTATTAAAAAATTATTTAAAAAAAAAAAAAATTATTTTTAATAATTTAAAAAATTATTTTTACAAAAAAAACTTATTTTTAATAATTTAAAAAATTATTTTTTAAAAGAAAATTATTTTTAATAATTAAAATAATTATTTTTAATAGGTTAAAAAATTGTTTTAAAAAAAAAAAATTATTTTTACAAAAAAAGTTATTTTTTTTTTAAAAATAAAATTTTGAATTTTAAATTTTCCCGCGCTTGCGCAAAACAAGCTGCGCAGTAACCTGCGCAGCAATCGCTGCGCAATAACACAAGCGACGTCGCAGATTTTTTTACATACGGTGCGACATTTTATCTAAAAAATTTTTACCACGTGTATCCGCGAAAAATAAATTTGTTAAATTAAAAAAAAACTACAAATGGTGCTGGACCTAGATTTATTTCGTGAAGATAAAGGAGCCAATGTCGAGGTGGTGAGAGAAAACCAGCGAAAGCGGTTCAAGGATGTCGGCTTGGTTAACCTGGTGATTGAAAAGGATAAAACTTGGAGGCAATGCCGTCATCGTGCGGACAATTATAATAAATTAAAAAATTTGTGCTCTAATGTTATTGGAGAAAAGATGAAGAAAAAAGAACCCATCGGAGATGATGACACTTTGCCCGAGAGTGTTGTTAGTGGTTTGGAGGCCATCACTGCAGATATTCTTAGGGAGCTGACTGTTTTTAAGATAAAAAAAATCAGGAGCTTGATCGATGAAGCTATCATTAAAAATCAGGAAGAGCTGGAAAAAGTCGAGCTGGAGAGAAATTCTGCGCTGAGAGAGGTTGGGAATCATTTGGATGCTACTGTTCCTGTCAGCAATGATGAAGATGAAAATCGGGTATGTATTTTTTTATTTATGATTTTGAATTAAGAAACAGCTGTCCAATTTTTTGGAGTTTGTAATAATTCAATTATTATAAAAATATTTTAATAAAATAATTTGACATTTAGAAATTAAAAAAATTACAAGTGCTATTTTTAAAATAAAATTTATTTTTTTTTATTTATCTGTAACAAAATTTTAAAAATTATGACGCTAAAATTAGCAAACTTGATATTTAAAAAATTTTTTTTTACAAATTAATTATAAAAAAAAAAATGACATTTAAATTGGCAGACACTTGAGAATTTTTTAATTTTTTTTTTCATAAGGTAAGTCTAGAAAATTAATTTTCAAAAATTGCATTTATAATTTTTTAGAGTTTCTAAAGATAGAATTTTTAAAATAATTTTTTTTTGCTAAAATTTATTGATTTATTAAAAAATTAATAAAAACTAGCAAGCTTGCAGTCACTATGTGACTGCCGTGACTTGTGATCTATAAATAAATAGAATTTGGCTTTTTTGAATAATGGCTTTTATAAAATTGCAGTGTACTTTCTCAAATATTGACGTTTTTAAAGATATAAGCTCATCTTGATGTTACACTCATTAAGAGCTTTCATTTGAGTACCTACATCAATTTTTCATATATTTTATATATTTATATATATCGTTAATATCATATATATATAAAATATATAAAAAATGCCATGTGGGTACTCAAATGAAAGGTCTGGATGAGTGTAACATTAAAATAAGCTTAGATCTTAAAAAATGTCAATAATAAAGTAATGACATTATATCTTGTCAACTATTGACATTTTTAAAGATATAAGCTCATCCTGATGTTACATTCATTAAGAGCTTTCATTTGAGTACCCAAATGCATTTTTGATATATGGGTATTCAAATGAAAGGTCTCGATAAGTGTAATGTCAGGATGAGCTTATATCTTTAAAAATGTCAATAGTTCACGAGATACAAGGTCATTTCTTAGTTGTGTATTTAGAAATAGAGCAGATGTCTTCCAATTTTAGTATCATTAAGAAAAGACTCGCATTTCTCATTTTAAGAAATAGTTTTTTTTTTTTTATTAAAATTTAATCATAAAAATCTTTAAAGATGCCAGATTTTTGTTAATTTTAGTATTATTAAAATATTTTAATAACAAAGTTATACATCTAAAAATTAAAAGTGAAAATTTGTTATAATTATTTTACAAATAACAGAAAAATTGCCAGATGTCTAATCTTGTTAATTTAGACTATTAATAAAAAAAATCACTTATTTTTAAAAAAATGCAAATTATTTTAAAATTTTAATAAAAATATCTTTCAATTTAACTAAAAAAAAAAAAAAAATAATTCCAGGTGGAGCGAACATATGGAGACACAACAGTAGAAAAAAAATACTCTCACTTCGACCTAATCCAGATGATCGACGGAATGGACGGCGAAAGAGGAGCAGCAGTATCTGGTAGCCGAGGATACTTCTTAACTGGTCCAGCAGTGCACTTGAAGCACGCACTGATCCAGCTGGCTATCAATAAACTTAGCGCCAAGGGGTACAAGCCGATGGACACTCCGTTCTTCATGCTGAAGGACGCGATGCAGGAGGTCGCCCAGCTGGCTCAATTCGACGAAGAGCTCTACAAGGTGATCGGAAAAGGTGACGGAGACAGCGAAGAAACCGAGGAGAAGTATCTGATCGCGACTTCGGAGCAGCCTATCGCGGCGTTTCACCGCAACGAGTGGATCCCGGAGAGCGAGTTGCCTATTAGGTACGCCGGGTTCTCGACTTGCTTCCGCAAAGAGGCCGGCTCTCATGGTCGCAACACCCGAGGAATCTTCCGGGTTCATCAATTTGATAAAGTCGAGCAGTTTTGTCTCACCTCGCCTCATGATAATAAATCTTGGGAGATGATGGATGAGATGATTGCTAATGCAGAGGAGTTTTATCAGGAACTGGGAATTCCTTATAGGATTGTTAATATTGTTTCTGGGGCGTTGAATCACGCTGCTTCGAAAAAGTTGGACCTCGAAGCCTGGTTTCCGGGATCTAAGGCTTTTAGAGAACTTGTTTCTTGCAGTAATTGTCTGGATTATCAAGCCAGGCGTTTGCTTGTTAGGTAATTTTATTTATTTTATATAATCTATTTTATTAAGAGAATAAGAAAAATCTCTAGATACAAAATTAAGAAATGACCGTGTATCTTGAGAAATATTGACATTTTTAAAGATATAAGCTCATCTTGATGTTATACTCATCGAGACCTTTCATTTGAGTACCCACATCAATTTTTCATATATTTTATATATTTATATATACTATATATATGTATGTATGAAAAATATATCAAATATGCGCGTGGGTACTCAAATGAAAGGTCTTGATGTGGATAATATCGAGGTGAGCTTATATCTTAAAAAATGTCAATAATTTAGAAATGACCGTGTATCTTGAGAACTATTGACATTTTTAAAGATATAAGCTCATCTTGATATTCCACTCATTGAGACCTTTCATTTGAGTACCCACATCAATTTTTCATATATATATATATATATAAAATATATAAAAAATACCATGTGGGTACTCAAATGAAAGGTCTTAATGAGTGTAATATAGAAATTAGTTTGTATCTTAAAAAATGTCAGTAATGAAGAAATGACATTTTATCTTGTGAAATATTGACATTTTTTAAGATATAAGCTCATCCCGATGTTACACTCATCGAGACCTTTCATTTGAGTACCCACATCAATTCTTCATATATTTATATACATGTATATTATATATATGTATATATGAAAAATATATTAAAAATGCATGTTGGTACTCAAATGAAAGCTCTTGATGAGCGTAACATCGGAATGAGCTTATATTTTTAAAAACGTCAATAGTGACTGCTAATTGAAATTTCTCAAAAAAAAAAATAGTATTTATTGGCAATGTGCCTTTAAATAATAATTAATAATTTAAAAAATAAAAGTATAATATTAAATACAATAAAATAAATTATCAGCAGTTGTTTAATTTAATAATTATTCATTTTAATTATTTTAAAGTTTTATAATTTTAAAATAATATTTTATCACTTGAACAAATAAATATTTTTTTTTTCAGGTATGGACAGACCAAAAAAATGAACACAGCTGTTGATTACGTGCACATGTTAAATGCAACAATGTGTGCGACGACACGTGTAATTTGCGCAATTTTGGAGGTCAACCAAACGGAGACGGGAATAAAAATTCCGTCGGCGCTAAAATATTGGATGCCTGAAAAATACCGCGAGGAGATTCCTTTTGTCAAACCCGCTCCTATTGACAAACCCGAGACGAAGAAACAGAAAAAACAACGAGAAAATATGGCGAAGTGATTCGTTGTTTATAATTAATTAATAATCTCGCATTTAATTTTTGTAACTGCTTTTTTATGTAGTTCAATAAATTAATTTATAATTTCACTAACATATTTAGTTTTATTACAGTGACTGAAAATTATGGACAAGACAAAAATGTTTAATTAAAAAAAATTTAACTCATATAAATTTATATTGATTTTGTCATTAAATTAATGACAGATAAAAAAATGTATTTTTTTTTTTCAGATATTTCTTTTATTCGTAGGTGTTAATTAATTATTATTTATTAATAATCAATTATATATTAAAAAATTATACATTATGCATTAAAATATTAATGAAAATTCACTTAAGAAAATAATAAGGAAGAAAAATATTTTCTAGGCTCACGTGAATTTTTTTTTCTGTGTAATTTTTTATTTAAGTTCGGAAGAAATGAAATTATTAAAAATCTTAATGTAGTCCAAGTAATTCTTAATAATATTATCTGTGACATGTCAAAAGGCTACTTTGTTAAAGGCTTGGTTTCATTACCAGTACTTTAATTAATTTAATTAATTTCATTAATGACACTTAAAGTACATTAAGATATTTTTAAGCCTAAGCGATAAAATTTTTTGTATGTATTTAATGTTGTTTAATTAAATAACAGAAAAATACCGCGAGAGATTTTTTTCGTTAAACCCGAGACGAAATTAATTAATTTTTTATTAAAATATTGCCAAAATAATTTTTTTTTTCAGTGTATTATTTAAGTTTTTAAAGTTAATAAAAATTTATTTTATATAGGAGAGGAGGGGGTCAGTTAAACCAAAAAAAGTTTAGCAATTTATTATTCGAATTAAAATAGAATATTAATTTTTTTGGAATGGTTAAGTCTACTATTATCAATAATAGTTCAATTGACCCCCGCTCGGGGGCAATTGAACCACTGCTTGGGGTCAATTGAACCAATAATATTTAAAACTCAAATCCTAACTTTTAATAAATAATATATTAATTGTTACTTGCTAATATAACTATTGCACATTTTTAATGCACAGATATTATATTAAATAAATTAAAAATCAATTTAAAAATAATTTTCATTATAAATTCAGTTCATCAAATTGTTAGGTTATTTCCCTGAGTATTTTTTACGTAGAGTCAAGATGCGCGCGCATGTCCCATGCTTCTTTGTATGGTTCAATCGTCCTTGGGACTGCTGGTTCAATTGACCCCATATAATTTTATAACAATTAATAGTAAATACAACTAAAGTACAATTAAAGTATATACAACTACTACAATTCAAAATTTATCAATTAATTCAAAAATTGAAATATTATTAAACAAATTTGTCAGCAGCCAAAAAAAAAGTTTACATGCCTAAAAATAAATAAAATCTCTATTTTTCAAAATTTATTACTCGCAATGATTTAAAATTTTTATCATATTCGAGTTTAACATATTAGAATCTAATTCTAAGAGCATGAAGCATTTTTTCAATTTTTTAAGTGGTTTAATTGACCTCCTTATATTTTGTTTTTATAGATTAAATTAATGATTTAAAAGGTTTCATTTGTCCTATGGGTCAACTAATTATTATCTACTGTTCACTTCTTTTTAGGTCATTACTACAATATATATATATATTGAATGATAAACTATTAATTGTCAATTGTATTTATCTAGTAACAATGAACGCTCTAAAAATGAGTAGATTTAATATAAGTGTAATATGGGTGTTATTCTTTTTAGCGTTTGCAGAATCGGTAAGTAAATTAATTATTAAAATTAATTACATTTTTTATAAATTAATTTTTATTTAAAGCTCATGGAAGACTACTACTACAGAGACATAATCAACGATGGAATAAAATTAGAGTTCTTTGTAGGAGAAATGACCCCAGATCGTCAGATTAAAATTTATTATGATGATAAATTAATCATAACTCAACAAGACACTTCCTTAAGTGAGTCTTATGTTGGTGAAAAAAAAAATTTGCAGATAATTGTACCCGATACTGAGATATTAATACTCAATCCGGAAGAAATTAATTCTGAAAAAAAAGTCATTGTTTATCACAGCGACGGCAAAATTCATGTTTATCAAGGAGAAGAAATTAATTCTACAAAATTAGTTTCTGAATTTAACAATAGCTTCGATTCTGAAGAGATTGTCTCGATACTGTCCAATGAATTTGACCAGAAAAAATTGGTATCAATATTTTTTGCAAATGATAAGTTGGTTTTGACTCAAAAAGAGACTCCAGAAGAAATTAATCCTAATTTAGTACAAGTAGAAAAATTGCAGACTGTAACTTCTGATAAAAACAAATTATTGTTGCATCCTGCAAGATTTTCTCCTGAAAAAAAGATTAATATAATCCATAAAAATGGGGAAATAATTGTCTGGACGGGAAAATTTGATGAGATACCGGAGGATAGTGTTGAGACGCCGGAAATTGTGGAAGTTATTGCTGAAAAATTGATGAAAAAGCCGCTAGAAATAAATCCTGATAATAAAGTGTTGAAAGGAAAAAATAACGTTCATAAAATAGAAAAAATTAATGCAACAGATTCAAAACCTAGTGATAGTATCAATAAGTCTGAAATTAATCAAGAAATCACACCAGATCTTGAATTTGATACTTTTTTTGACTCCGGGGAAATTGCAGAAATATTTCCTCAAGAATTCAATTTGAAAAAGTTAGTTTGGATATTCTTTTGTGATAACCAGCTTAATGTAACCCAATTGGGTGCTCCTGAAGAAACGAGCAACAATATAAGGTACAAGCACAAAAATATGACGATAGTTTCTTCGGATGTTAATAAATTACTGCTGTATCCTGGAAGAATTACTCCGGAGGATAGGATCAGAGTTCTGCATAAAAATCGGACGATTTATGTTTGGCAGGGGTCGGATCGAATTCCAAAAAAACATATCAATAGGCCGGATATTGTTAAAGTTATAAAACCAACTCCAAAAATTGAAAAGCCAGAAGCTGTTCTGGATAAATTGGGTAATTCAAATTTTGATAGAGAAATATTGATGGTACTGCCAGAATTGAACCTTAGACAAGCTTTTTCGGTTAATATCAATGGGAATAATAATACTAGAGTAGAAACACTAAGCACTCCACATCAAAAAGTATCTACAGCTCATGGGTTCAATAATTCACGAATTGTAAAATCAGGTTCAAATTCATTTGTGTATTATCCAATTAATATTGATTTGGATTTCAAAATTAATATCAAGGACAATTCTAACGCGTCTGAAGAGCTGAAAATTAATGAGACTAATGAAATTGATGCGCAACCTGAACCAATTATGCTTCATCAAGTGATTGCGAGTAATTACACAATGAGGGTGGATCCAAAGGAATTAATTTTGAAGAAATTGGTTAGAGTGTCTTATAATAACGAATTGTTGGAGGTAACGCAAAACGGAACTTCTGAAGAATCATTTAACGCTAGTTCATCTTTTAATCAGACAAACTTACAAGTTATCAAACCAGAGACAACTAGGCTTTTACTTCATTTGATGTTCATCAACCCGGACTCGGTGATTAAATTCCGACATGAAAATGGAAGGATATATATTTGGCAAGGGTCAGATAGGATTCCGAAGGAGGATGTTGATATGCCGAGTGTTGCTCAAATTATTGAACCCTGGGGTGTTGAAGATTATGATGATGAGGATGAGGATGATAATGAATCAAAGACGGTAGTGCAAGACTTCAATAAATCAGTTTCCGACAAAATTGGGTTGACTCTCTTTTCGAATATGTACAATCCCGATAAATTGATCGTCGTGAAACATGCGAATGATCAGATTCATGTCAATCAAATAGATCGTATTGAAGATGATGGAAATAAAAATCCGGAGAATCAGAAGATGTTTTATTCGATATCTAATGAATCTAGCGTGACGTTGGATCCACGAAAAATTAATTCTAATCAAAGGATTATTGTTAAATATTTTGACAAAATGACCTATATAACTGTTTGATATTAAGATTGAATCAAATGAAGAATATTAATTTTAATTGTACATTGAAAAAAAAAAAATTAGTTTTAATCAAGAGAAAGATTGTTGAACCGAGAAAATAATTTTGAAGAAGTTCATTGCCTTTAATCAACACGATAAATTCTTTTATCAAGTGAGATTTACTTAAACCAAGATACATTTTTTAGTTTAAGAATTTGTCTACTCAAATCAACAAGATCAAGTTCTTCAAAATTATTTACTTGATTCAAGTTTATTTTTTTTTCTGTGTAATGAAAATTATAATAAATGACTTTTTTGTAATTTATCTTTGCAGTTATTGGTACCATTTCTTCAACTTTCCTTTTTGTAACATCCATTAACATTTTCCGTCCTGGCTTTGTTAATTTTTAATCGTAAAAATTGGGAAATTTTTATTTTAGAATTTTAAGGATTGTATTTATTCTTAATTGAAGTTGTGAAGAAATGAAATTATTTAAAATTTTAATACCGTCCAAATCCGGGGTATCAAAACTTGCATTTGTCGATACCTAACAAATCTACCGCGACTTTTGATCCACGAAAAGGTGATCCTAGTAAAATGATTATCATTAATTGCATTAAGAAGAAAACGCATTTAAATTCTGCTTCAAATTAAGATTGAAAAAATGAAGAAAATTTATTTGAATTTTAATAAAAATCATAATAAATAATCTTGTAATTTATTTCTGCAGTAATTGTTACTTTTTTTTTTACCTTACCTTTTTGTAACATCCATAAATATTTTCCTAGCTTTTTTTTCAGTGTAAAAATTCTAATTTTAGATTGTTCTGAAGAAGTTTTTAAAATCTTAATAGCACCTAAATTAATTTCTAACGTTATCTTTAAAATGTTAAAAGGCTATTTTGTTAAAAGCTTTATTTGATTAATAGTATTAATTAATTCCATTAATGACAAAACCATTAAACCTGAGTGATAAAAATTTAATGATTATATTAATTTATATTTAATTTTTGAGATGATATAAAATCTCTAATTTAATCAAACAATTTACAATGAATTCAATAAAAAATTTTTAATAATAACAAAATAGAAAAAAAATCAAAATTAATATCTAATTAAAAAATTCTTTTGTAAAATCTAAATTATGCCTTTGTTAAAATTTATCATTAAACTATCATTAATTTAATGACAAAGAACTACCAATTTTTCTTTATCTCCAAATACTTCTTAATAATATTCGTTAATTAGTATCTATTATTATCATTATTATTATCATCATTATTATTATCATTATTATTATCGAACCGGACAAAGATTTCTCTAGGTCATATCTTCAATATAAAATGGGTAGATAATTAGAAGTAATTAATTGTGTTCATCAAGTGTCACAATGAAGACCGTAAAAATAAGTGAGTTATTAATTAATTTTTTTTAAAAAAACTGATAATTAATTAAAATTTTTTTTTGCAGAAAATTTCAGCATGAAGCTGTGGGTGGTACTGAGCATCCTGGCGATTGTTCAATCGGTAAGTTAATTCTGCATTAAATACAAAGTATTTTTCTTCTTAGAATCCAAAAAAAATGCTTCTAAAAATTTCCACTAATAATTAATTTAATTTAATTTTTTATAAAATTCTAAAAAAATTTCTCATATCAGCTGATGTGATTAAAGAAAAAAGTGTTTTTCTTCCTAGAAGAAGTAAAAGCAAGTTTTTTTAGAGAAGAAATAGAGAAGAAATAGGAGAAGGGGGTCAATTGAACCAGTTGACTTAAAAAATTGAAAAAAATTCTTCATGCTCTTAGAATTAGATTCTAATATGTTAAACTCGAATATGATAAAATTTTGAATTAATTGCGATTAATAAATTTTGAAAAATAGAGATTTTATTTATTTTTAGGCATGTAAACTTTTTTTTCGGCTGCTGACAAATTTGTTTAATAATATTTCAATTTTTGAATTAATTGATAAAGTTTGAATTGTAGTAGTTGTATATACTTATACTTTATAATCCTCAATTTTGTTTATAGTGATATAATAGTTTATTTATTTATTATTTACTATTAATTGTTATAAAATTGTATGGGGTCAATTGAACCAGCAGTCCCGGGGACGATTGAACCATACGGAGAAGCATGGGACATGCGCGCGCATCTTGACTCTACGTGAAAAATACTCAGGGAAATAACCTAACAATTTGATGAACTGAATTTATAATGAAAATTATTTTCAAATTGATTTTTAATTTATTTAATATAATATCTGTGCATTAAAAATGTGCAATAGTTATATTAGCAAGTAACAATTAATACATTATTTATTAAAAGTTAGGGTTTGAGTTTTAAATATTATTGGTTCAATTGATCCCAAGCAGTGGTTCAATTGCCCCCGAGCTGGGGTCAATTGAACCAGTAGACGCGTTTGGATATTAATAATTTTTAAAAATTCACATTGTTTATTGACTAAATTATTGATAATGATAGTAGACTTAACCATTCCAAAAAAAATTAATATTCAATTTTAATTCGAATAATAAATTGCTAAACTTTTTTTGGTTCAATTGCTCGGAGAGCTCAAAATAACACACAAATAATTTTTTTGAGCTCTTCGAGCTCAAAAACGTCATAACTGCAATTTCAAGCGTAAAGGTATAGAATTGGCGGGAAATTGCAGAGATGGCCTCAGGGTCAACCGTTTTCCTAATTATTCTTACAGTTTTTCAAGCTCTTAATAAATGAAATTTTTCTTTTTTGATTGAAATAGTTTCAGTACGATGACGATTGGGAAGGAGCCGAAGGGCAATACGAAAGAGAAGTTTACGATGATGATATCCCAATCATTTTAACTTTACCAGAAATTGTGCCTGTTCTCCAAGTAAAAATCTTCTACAAAAACCACCACTTGTACGTAACCCAGCGAGAAATGCCTCGAGAGCATCCAAAATTACATCCAAGTGAAGAAAAACCAGATTTGCAGATAGTAGTTCCTGATACTAAATCCGTTTTTCTCCATCCTTCGGATATAAATGACAAAGAAATCTACATCCACCACAGCAAAGATCACATTTTCGTCTTCCAAGGCGAAGTTCCAGAAATCCAACCAGAGCTTCCATTAATTTCCACAGCTGACGACTCTATCCTCTATTTAAACGCCACATCCTTCATCCCAGAGAAACTGATCAAGATTTACTACGACGGCGACAGATTGTTCGTATCTCAGCGTGATGTTCCCGATAACAAGTACTTCAATGAGAAACCAACACGTTCCTTTTTGCAGTACATTGGGTCCGATCGTGCGATTGTGTACCTTTATCCCACGAAGATCAATTGGGACCAAGATGTCGCTGTGCAACATAGTCCTCATTCAATTTCCGTTTTCCAAGGAAGAAAACCGCGTTCTTATCGTCGGGAAGATAACGCAGGAGAGACTAAATACTTGCCGGACTCTGCTCAAGATTACGACGCGACTTTTGAAGCTGGGGAACTTTATCCGATGTACTCCGGTGACTACAATCCCAGAAAAACCGCACTGATATTCTTTGATAACGGAAAAATGCGGATTACCCAAAAGGGAGCTCCAGAAGAAACAAATCCTGATTTGGCACCCAATAAGGGCACTCTGCAAACAATGACCTCGGATAAGAACAAATTGGTGTTCCATCCTGCAAGATTCTCCCCAGGAAAGCAAATCAAGGTACAGCATTTGGGTAAAAGAATATTTGTATGGACCGGACGTGACCGAGCGCCGAGTTTTAATGTAAACAATCCTGAAATAATAGAAGTTATACGACCAAAAGTGGACCATGAAGATTATGACACTACTGTTGATGATGGAGTAGTTTTTGAGGTATATTCTAATGATTTCAATCCGGATAAATTGGTGAGGATATTTATCAAGAATGGTCAATTGAGAATTACTCAAGTGAACACTCCAGAAGAAACAGATCCAAATTTAGTGCCGGGTGTTAAGAGTTTGCAAACTATAACTCCAGATGAGAATTCATTGCTGTTCCACCCAGCTAGATTTTCTCCGGATGTTAAGATAAGGATCCTCTATAAAAACAACAAAATATTCTTATGGACTGGAAGAAGTCAACCTCCGAGATTTAATACCAACAGACTGGAAATTATCGAAGTAATTGAACCAGAAACTGAAGATCCTGCACCAGAAGAAACACCTTTTGATACTTCTTTTGATTCCGGAGAAACGGTTAAGTTATTTCCCACCGAATTTGATCTGACGAGACTAGTATACATATTTTTTGAAAACGGCCAGTTGAAGGTGACTCAAATTGGTGCTCCAGAAGAACCCAGGAGGAATATAAGAAGCAAGTACAGGAATTTAAGGATAATTTCGGTTGATGATAATAAATTAATGCTGTACCCAGCTAGAATTATACAAGATCAGGAAATTAATCTTAGACATGAAGATGGCGAGATATTCCTTTGGCAGGGCTCTGATCAATTGCCAATTAGGAATGTTAACCGGCCTGATATTGTTAAAGTTATTAAACCACCTCGTCCTGAACCCAAAGAAGTTCCGCAGGACTTATATGTTAGAAGTGGAAAAACACTGATTGTTTCTCCGAGAACGTTTGATGTCAACAAACTTGTCTATGTGGTGTTCAAAAATAACAAATTACAAGTAACACAAGATAATGCGCCAGAAGAATTAGATTTGATAGTTGAAGAAAACTTACCAATTGTTAAATCTGATACAGCGCCTTTGATGTTCCATCCAAATTTGCTTGATCTTCATACCAAAATTTACATCCGGCGTCAAAATGGTATGATTTATATTTGGCAAGGGTCTGAAGATCTTCCGGTTGATGTTTCTGATGTTGAAGACGACCAAACACCAATAAACGTTGAAGTATCTAAAATCAAACAGAATTCATCTGTAATTATTGTCAACAAGCCCCATAAGGAAGATATTAATGTAGCGTTAATTGAAACTGATAATTCATCCGCAATTATTGCCAAAAAGCCTGTTGAAGATATCAATATAACAATTAAAACTAAAAATAATTCATCTAAAATTATTGCCAAAAAGCCTGTTGAAGATATCAATTTAACGTTAATAAAAACTAAAAATAATTCATCTAAAATTATTGCCAAAAAGCCTGTTGAAGATATCAATATAACAATTAAAACTAAAAATAATTCATCTAAAATTATTGCCAAAAAGCCTGTTGAAGATATCAATATAACAATTAAAACTAAAAATAATTCATCTAAAATTATTGCCAAAAAGCCTGTTGAAGATATCAATATAAGAATTAAAACTAAAAATAATTCATCTAAAATTATAGCCAAAAAGCCTGTTGAAGATATCAATTTAACGTTAATAAAAACTGAAGATAATTCTGCAATTTCGGACGTAGATTCAAATATAAAAGATGTACATTATAAATTTAATGAAGGTAATACATCTGAACCCAACAAAACAACAGTAAATTCATCAGATATTTTCATTAATAAAGTTGTTGAAATCAATTCTATAATGAATATATCTTTATCGAAATTTAATCCGAAGATATTAGTATCAGTGTCGTTCAAAAATGACACTTGGGTAATAAGTCAGCTCAATACTCCCAAAGAAACGTTAACTAAAGCATCAAGTTCTACAAAATTACAAATCATCAAGCCTAGCACAGAAACAATCTTTCTTCATACAGCGTTTATAGATCCCTCAGAAGTTCATCTTCGCTATGACAATGGTAAGATATATATTTGGCAAGGAGACAGCCAACCTTTGGTTAACATTGAGACTGATGTTGTTAGTGTACCTGAATTAGCAAAGCCTAAAATTGAACATAAATCTAAACCTGTAACGGATCTTTTGGTGCAAGATACGATTGAATTAGAGCTTCCGAAAGCAGAAAATGTCTTTTTAAATAGTAAGAAACCAAAAGTAACTTTCAACCAAACAATTAAAAGCGGTCGCACTTTGTCAATGGCTTCAGGCGAATTTGATACCCATAAATTGGTGATGGTTTCATTCAAGAACAATATTTTGGAGGTAACGCAAGTTAGGTGTCCTAAAGAAACATGGGATGAAAGAATTGAATACAAAAAAAACTTACAAATCATCCGGCAAGATACTGATATGATGTATTTACATGCTGGTCTTGCTAATTTAGAATTTAACATTAATTTCCGACATGATTATGGTAAAATTTACATTTGGCAAGGCGCCAAACCGACGGTTAATATAGATTCTCCAATTTTGAATGTAATTGATCAGAATCCAAGAGTAGTTACGTCGGAAAATGAATTTGACGCCACCTATGAAAGCAATTACACTGTTAAAGAGTTCTCTAGGAGATTTAACATGGGAAAATTGTTGTCGGTAACTGTTGAGTACAACCAATTGCATTTGTCGCAAGTAAATATGCCGGAAGATTCGGTAAGTGCGACGGGTGAATACAAAAATTTGCAGGTTGTTAGATCAGAGTCAGTTAGAGTGTTGATTCACTTAGCGAGAATTAATCCAGATCTTTTGATTCATTTCCGATATGAAAATGGAAGGATATACATTTGGCAAGGGTCAGATAGGATTCCTGAGTCGGATGTTGATATGCCGAGTGTTGTTCAAGTTATTGAACCCAGTGGAGGTGAAGATGAAAAAGAAGAAGATGAAGATGATGAAGAGACGGTAGTGAAAGATTTGAATCAATCTGTTTCTGATAAAATGACGTTGACTCTCTTTTCGAATATGTACAATCCGGATAAATTGGTCGTGGTGAAACATGCCAATCATCAGATTCATGTCAATCAAGTAGATCGTGTTAAAGATGATGGAAATAAAAATCCTGGGTATGAAGACTTGCATTTGTCGGTTCCTAACAAATCTAGCGCGACTTTTGATCCACGAAAAGTTGATCCGAGTAAAATGATTATTATTAATTATATTAAGAAGAAGACGCATATAAATACTGCTGTATATTAAAATTGAATAAAATGAAGAATATTAATTTTAATTGTACACTGTTTAGATTATACTTTACCGGACAAATTTTTGAGAAAATAAAAATTTTTAAATGTTAGTATTTGTTCAGAGTCTTACGAGAAAGTCAGACGTTTGCAGTATTTCTCGAATTATACTATCAGTCATGGATTAGATGAAGTAAAAAAAAACTAAAAATTAGATTTTCGAAATATTCAGGTTTCTTTTTTTGCAATAAAATATATCAGTTACCGAGATATTTATTGAGAAATTAATATTTAAAAATCACAAAAAATTCTCAAGTAACCTACATTAATATGGAGTCAAAATATTTGGCAACGTTGCGTAGCGCGCGAGTTTCAAACCATTCAATAAATTCAAACTAATTTATTTATTTACACTGACTGCAAAAACTTAAACGTGTTTAAGGTTATATTGTGCAAAGGAAAATGTAAACAACCGAAGTACAGCGTTGCCAAATCACGGACAGGTTACTAGCAGTTGATTTGAAAGAGTCAAATTAATTTTTGTATTTAACTATTTTTTTTTTTTTATTTTTAAAATTTCAACGATTAATGCCTCATATACTATTTATTATTTAATTTTAGGAATTTTTATGGGTTTTTTATTTTAATTTATCGTATATTGACTACTACAATTGTTTTGACTCAACTGGAGCGAAAGGATTTCCTTAATCAAGAGAAAGATTGTTGAACCGAGAAAATAATTTTGAAGAAGCTCATTGCCTTTAATCAACACGATAAATTCTTTTATCAAGTGAGATTTACTTAAACCAAGATACATTTTTTAGTTTAAGAATTTGTCTACTCAAATCAACAAGATCAAGTTCTTCAAAATTATTTACTTGATTCAAGTTTATTTTTTTTCTGTGTAATGAAAATTATAATAAATGACTTTTTTTGTAATTTATCTTTGCAGTTATTGGTACCATTTCTTCAATTTTCCTTTTTGTAACATCCATTAACATTTTCCGTCCTGGCTTTGTTAATTTTTAATCGTAAAAATTGGGAAATTTTTATTTTAGAATTTTAAGGATTGTATTTATTCTTAATTGAAGTTGTGAAGAAATGAAATTATTTAAAATTTTAATACCGTCCAAATCCGGGGTATCAAAACTTGCATTTGTCGATACCTAACAAATCTACCGCGACTTTTGATCCACGAAAAGGTGATCCTAGTAAAATGATTATCATTAATTGCATTAAGAAGAAAACGCATTTAAATTCTGCTTCAAATTAAGATTGAAAAAATGAAGAAAATTTATTTGAATTTTAATAAAAATCATAATAAATAATCTTGTTCTTACTTAATTGTTTTCTATACGTTAACTTAATCATTCCTCCTCAGACTTTTGTTGAAATATTCTTTGTTAAATTGTAATTTCTTATTAGTTAATCGTAAATTAACGATCTAAAATTCCCACATCATCAAATTTGATGTATATTTTCTATAGGGTCGTTAAAGAGAACAATTATTCGCCGTAGAATCATTACTGCAAGGTCATTTCCTCATAAGATAAATTAAAGCGGTATCAAAGTTTAAAAAAAAACAATTTATCAATAGCAATTAATAACTGGGAGCACGAGGAGTTGAAAAAAAGTTTTATTCAATATGAGTAAATTATATCAATTGATTTTCAATTCCACGGCTAAAAATATTATTTTTTTTTTACAAGTTCAAATAATACTTCTCTGTTATATTTCTTCAGCCAATTCTATTTCGGTAAGTCAATTCAATTAATTACAATTATTAAATACTAATTTATTGAATTTAGTTAAAGAAACGTCAGGAGATATACCGTAAACATGGCTGTGAAGGTAATTATCAATTATTTTCTGACAATTGAAGAAGTATTTTAATGAAAATTTTCAATTTAAAATTGTAGTAGGAAAATGCGACATTGTTAAAATAAAATTACCGAGTCGTCGAACAGGATCATTAAACTCAACAATATCTTTCAAATTGAAAGCATTTGGTACCGAGACAGTGCTAAATCTCCGTAAATCCAATGGGATTCTTGTTGGGGATAATACTCCAGTTTACTTTGGTAAATCCGTAGGATCTGAAGTGTTTCTTGAAAAACAATTGGGGGTAAGTAAAAATTGTTATTTGATCCACAGATTCGGTAGAATTTGGCGCCAAGTTCCGTTCAAATCCGTTGTCAACGGAGCGCCAGACTACCGACTGTGTTTACTGTAAGCAGAACGGTATTTTGAGGTTGCAAAATTTTATTTAATTCTACGGTACTTTTTTTTTTCTAAATTGTATATTATAACAGTAATTCATACTTTATTTTACTGTTATTAATTAATTATATTCACTTATTACAATTAATCTACTTGAAATTACTAAATTTGATCAGCACAAACTATAGCAACGCAAAAATTTCGATCCTGACTTTTTTTCGATGGGCAAAGTGATCTGCCACAGACTAAATAATTCGAGAATGCATAGTAATTCTTCATTAGATGGGAAACTACAGTTAAAAAAAGATATTTCACAGCTTGCATCTACACCCGCCAGGGTGCGCTGGAATTATTTTTACATAAACTGTAGCTTCAAGGGAATAGTTTGCTATAAAAAAATGCAGCCAACGCGAGATTTAAGTTGGTACCAATTGTAAATTTTTATTATAATTAAAAAAAATACTAAAATCCGAACAAAAACAGTTTCACTGTAAAAAAATCGCACCAAGTCCACGTTCATAAGATTATTAAGAAAAAAAAATTGTTTTTTTCTTTACAAAAAGATATAAATATAAAAAAATTGAAAAATCCAAGTAACCGATATGATTGTTTATGATTTTCGGAAATTAAAAGAAATTTTGTTGTAAATTTAAAAATTAAAAAAAAATTTTGGAACGTATTTGGTGTGCGTCATATTGTGCATTTCAATTTTTTTTAAAGTCCTAGTAAATAGATTTTACGAGTTTAATTAAAAGTAAAATATTTCGCAACAACGCACACTAAATACGTTTATTTATTTATTTATTTATTAAGCACTTATTAAGCCAGAGAAATTCTCTTTAACTTTTTCTTTAATTACTTTAATTTCTTTAATTTCATCTTCAAGATGTGCTTATTAGGGATGCACTGTATATGATTAATCATAAATTAACTAGATTAAGTGAACTAGATATATGTATAATACTTGATTAATTATTGTGTAAAATATTAGACCTAATTCTATATTCTTACTAGCTTACATAGTATCTCAATTTATTAATTAGCTCTTTTAAGCTAAATTTCAATATGGGAATAGCCGTCCATAATATTGTCATATGAATTAATTAATCAATCTGCGTTATATTCTATTGCTTTCACTCTACCCTATGTAATATTTAATATACTACTGCACATATGTAAAATTATATGTATTAATGACCCTGTTATTGGCCTTCAGGCTGTTGGGTCTGTATTAAATAAATAAATAAATAAATAAATATCGGTTACTTGGATTTTTTAATTTTTTTATTTTATATCTTTTTGTAAAGAAAAAACTAATTTTTTTTTCTTAATAGTCTTATGAACGTGGACTTGGCGCGATTTTTTTACAGTGAAACTGTTTTTGTTCGGATATTATAACTATCAAATGCAAAGATCGCGGCTTTTGAAAAAAATTTTTCTTCAATTTTAAGTTTCGATGTTTGCTAAGTGATTGACAAAAAAAATATTTGTCCTTTTTTTTTTCTCCCGCAATTTATATAATTGAAATTTAGTTGTTTAGTTCGGAAATACGCTCTCAAATCTATGAAGACGAAGCCAATTTAGCGATGGTCACACTTGACTTTAACTCTAGTGTACCCAAAATAAAGGTAAAAACCAAATTATTTATTTTGTTTATTAATATAGTAATTGATTTTATTGATCGGTAGTATGGATTTTTCACCACGAAAAATATAACATTTACTGAATTGCAAGATGATAGTCCGAAGAATTTTTCCATTGTCTCTCGAAAACAGCTCTTTCTAGCAAGACGCATGTATGGTGAAATCCTCGATAAATTTGGCGATAAATCCTACGATAAATTTGGCGAACGTAAGTATTTCACGATAACTAATTACCTATAAATAAACAAAATTTTGCTCTATCAAATAATGACTTTTGTAAAATTGCTCTGTATATACTTTCTTAACTATTGACATTTTTTAAAATATAAACTCATTTCGATGTTACACTCATCAAAAGCTTTCATTTGACTACCCACATGCATTCTGATATATTTTTCATATATACATATATATATATATATATAATATATATAAATATATGAAAAATTGATGTAGGTATTTAAATAAAAGGTCTTAGTGAGTGTAACATCAGGATGAGCTTATATTTTTAAAAATGTCAATTTTTCATATATTTAATATATATGATATTTATGAAATATATAAATGTATAAAATATATGAAAAATTGATGTGGGTACTCAAATGAAAGGTCTCGATGAGCGTAATGTCGGAATGAGCTTATATCTCTAAAAATGTCAATAGTTCAGAAGATACAAGGTCATTTCTCAATAATGTATCCTTAAGACAAAATTTTTTTATCCTCTTAATAATATAGATAAAATAAACTATATAATTTAAAAAATTTCAGCCCTTATAATTGATGGCCTTTCTTATCAGCCGGCATCAAAAATTCCGATTCCTGACGTTATTTATCCCGAAATTTTGATAACTGTCGACTACAACTTCTACAAGCGTTTTAATAAGGAGACAATTATTCCATACTTGTTCTCATTCTGGTCGGGAGTCGATATGTTTTACCGCCAACTGCAGAACCCTAAGTACAAACTATCCATTGCTGGAGTTGTAATTGCTGAGGTAATAAAATATTTTTTTGCTCACAATAATATGTTAAATTTAATTTCTTCATCCAGGATTTCCAGGTCTTACATTTTATGATACCAGAAAGAAATAACAAAACATTTACAATGTCAATAAACTTTATGAATGTAATATCGGGCGATATGCCAAAATGGTTAAGTGTAAATGCATCGGAAATTGCATTAAGTAGCTACGATATTCAGATGCTAATGACACCGTAAGTATTTTTAAAAAATTCCATTAGTATGATAGTGTGATAAACGTTGTCTTTAATGAAATTTATTTTGAAAATGTACAGCTACATTTATGAATTTGAAAATAAAAACGGTGAAGTATTGACTTTTGTTGGATTGTCCTCTCGAACATCGGCTTGCTATGGACAAACTCACCTAAGCCCACTGGGAGGAGTAATAAGTGAACCTCATAATTTTCAGGGTGTTCTTAGAGCTGTTCATGAGTTAGGTCATATGTAAGTATTAAATAATAATTATAAGTTATAATTATGTGACTGAAACTTATACAATAGTCAAATTTATCTTATAATATAGAAGAAGAATAACTATCATTTTAAATAATTTATATATATTATATTACTATATACTAGCCGCCATTTTGTAGCGCGGGAATTTCAGCCACCATTTTGTTGAACACTTTTGAAAATATCTTTTTTTAATAATTTCTAATGAATTAGCTTTTTATTTAACTACTTCACATGGATCTTTTTAATTAATTTTGCTCACTTTAACTATTCTTCTAGATTTGGTTCAGCACATGATCTTTCATGCGAAAATTCATCTTGTGAAAAACAATATTTAATGGCGAGTCAAGAAAATTTTTGGACAATAACTAGATTCTCGGAGACAACTATAAATAATTTCCATAGAGCACTAGAGTAGGTTAATATAAATTATAATTTATTCATATTTATATTTATAACAATATTAAATTTAACTTATAGAGAAAACGATTTTTCATGCATGTACAATAAGGCTAATGTAGATAAACCACTCCATATGATATTGGATGAAGACGATCGATTGGTTACTAGCAAACAGAAATTTGCTGCCGATAAGGTCATCAAGATTTACTACGAAGATGATACTTTGATTGTCACCCAAGTAAACACTGATAAATCATCAGTAGCAGAAAAGTTAGATGATAGTTTCCTTAAAATTGTCGTGACCGATGACAATGTTCTAGAAGTTAATCCCGATGAAATAAGTCAATTGAGTAAAGTTAATATTTATCACGAAGATCAATTTATTTATGCGTATCAAGGAAGAAAGCCAGTACCAGAAAATTATAATGATGTACTTGAAAGCAATCCGGAAGACTTGAGCCCTGACTATTTCGAAAATGACGATACTGAAATGTGTTTCAATAAAACGGACTTTGATAGTGATAAATTAGTAAAAATTTATTATGAAAACAATAAAATACATGTATCGCAACGTAATGTGCCGGATTGTGAGAGTCCTAATGAGCGTAAAAGCTCATACTTGCAGTACATCGGGTCTGAGCTTGGAATTATCTATCTTTATTTAACTGAAATAAATTGGGACAAAGAAGTTTGTGTTCAGCATGATGATGCCTCTATATTTGTCTATCAAGGAGAGAAACCTGATTTAGATCGTTGGGAATATAATTCTGGCAAGATAAAATACTTACCGGATGAATCTTATGTTAATAGAAAATTACCTGAATCTGAAGAAAGAAAACAAAGATCCGAATTTAATTTAACTTTAGACACTGAACATACTCTTTCAATATTTCCCAATGAATTCAATCAAAAGAAACTGGTATCGATATCATTTGAAAATGATAAGCTAATTATATCTCAAATAGGAACGCCTGAAGAAAATAGAGTAGAGGAAAATATGTTATCTGAAGATGCAAATGTGATGTTCTTTACAAGGGATGTTAATAAATTGTTACTGCATCCAGTGCGATTAACTTCTAGAAAAGAAATTCATATACGTCATGTAAATAAAATAATAAAAATTTGGCAGGGTTCTTACGACAGTCCGCCTGATTTAAGTTTCAATAATCTTGATGTTATTGAAATTATAACACGCTAATTCTAGAACTAAACAGGATCTTCCAATCAAAAAAAAAAAAAAAATCCCTGATTTTTCAAGACAAAAGTCCTGATGGATTGAGTCTGGCTTGGTTAAAGGATCACTTACCTCAATTAACTTTATTTCTCACGTCATTATTTAATAGATCTTTAATTACTGGTATTTTTCCTGACCCTTGGAAAATGGTTTATATTGTTCCATTAAATAAAATCACACCCCCGAAATCACCATCTGAGACTAGACCGATAGCAAATTTGTGTCATCTTAGCAAAGTATTTGAGAGAATCGTAGCAAATCAAATAGTTACCTACTTAGAAGACAATGAACTATTAGATAAATCTCAGTCGGGCTTTAGAAAACATCACAGTACACAAACAGCTCTCCTAAAATTAACTGATGATATAAGACAGGCCATGGATAAAGGCAAATTGACTCTATTAGTCTCGTTTGATCTCAGTAAAGCCTTTGACTATGTAAACCCGAAAATAATCCTAATTGTTATGGTGGAACTTGGTTTCTCCATTGATACCATTACATGGTTCTTTTCTTACTTGACCAAACGTTCTCAGTCTGTCATTGATGATTGTGTTGTGCCGACTGGTTTCCTAGACATATCCTCAGGTGTACCGCAGGGATCTGTGCTGGGACCAATATTATTTCTTATTGTAATGAATTTAGTGGTAAGAAGAATATCTTATTGCTCCCACGGTTTATTTGCAGATGATCATTATATCTATCGAAGCTTTGCTCCCTCTGAGTTGCATGAAACGATCAAAATTGTAACTGTCGATGCCCAAGAAATTGCAAACTGGACAAGAGAACATGGCTTGAAATTAAATTTAGATAAAACGATTATAATGATCTTAGGCTCTGTAGGTAAATTGAGGGCAATTGAATCCGATTTCCTTCCTCCGATTATTATTGATGGTGTAGCATTGCCGTATGTAAACTCTATGAAATGTCTGGGTGTAACTATTAGTAACAATTTGTCATGGAAAAATCATGTCTCGAAAACTATTAAAAAAGTCAACTCAGCATTGTACTGTCTGAAAGCTAGGAAAAATATTTTCACTCAGGAAATTAGAAAACTGTTGGTAACTGCTACAATACTTCCTATCATAGACTATTGTTCTGTGGTACTAGTTGATTCCAATGCTGATACTGACTTGAAATTGCAACGTGCAATAAACAGCACAATTCGTTACATTTTCAGCTTAAAGCAAGATGAACATATTACTCCCTATCGACAGAAATTAAATTGGTTATCAATAAAAAAGAGAAGAGTATATTTTTTAGCCACCTTCTTTTACAAACTGCTACATACGGGTCAACCAAGTTACTTAACTTAAGAGAGTTATTTGTTGAAGACTCGTCTCGCCGTTCTCAGAGACTTGCTGAAAAAATTAATAATGTAAATTTCGAAATACCGAACTATACCTCGTCTTTTTATGAAAATTCATTTGTTGTATCGGTTATACGTTTGTGGCAAAATTTACCCACAAATCTTATAAACTCAATCAAGTAGTCTTGATTGCTTTAAGCCGGCCCCCTACTTGATCATTTATTGAAATCAGATTTTGATTAATATTAAATTTATATATAAGTTAATATATATATCCTTAGTTAAATCTACTATAATTACTGTAAAAATTGTAAATATTGTAAATGCTATAATTATTATAAACATTGTAAACAATATATATGTGTCAAACACTCTTATATCTGAAATCATTACGCTAATTATACAAATTACAAATATTGTATCTTAGTTATAGTTTTATATCTGTACTTACAACGCTATTATTCTTTTGTACTAAACATTTGCTATTCGGCAATTAGCCTGGCATAATAATAAAGTAAACTAAACTAAACTAAACAACATTTTAGATCAATTTTTAGGTACTGAGATTTTTCCACGTATAATTGCTATTGTATGAAAATGGAAAGTCTTAGAAAAAAAATTTTTAATTCTAATTATAGTAAATTAAATGTTCTGTACATTGAAAAATAGATAAAACTAATTGTACAATACATTTAGTGGTATTTTTAACTTCCCGCTAAAAATCTAAGATTTTCAAAAATCGGGAAGTTATTGTTTTCACCCCGTTTTACAAAAATCGAGTTTTCATCAGATCTCAACGTTTGAAGGTCACAGGAAACTTCCCTGACTATTTTTACGATGATGTCCGTACGTCTGTATGTATGTGTGTGTGTGTGTGTATGTAAACCTCTTGTAACTTTTGAACGACTTGACCGATTTCATCGCGGTTGGTGCCATTCGAAAGGGCTTCACTAAACTTAGATTTCCTGAAAATTTGAACCGATTTGGACCGGTAGATTTCACGAAAATGCAAAAAAAGTGAAAAAAAAAGTTGTTTTTTTTTATTTTTTTTAAATATCTCTGAATTGGCTGAACCGATCGGTCTCAAAAACTAATCAGCTCTTTACCTTGAAAACCCCCATCGATCGCCACCAAAAACGTAAGAATCGATTGATGTGTTCGTGAGATATCGTTGTCGAAAAAAATCCAAAGATAGTGTTTTTTTGTAATAACTTCGAAATTCATGGCTCGATCGATTTAAATTTGAAAATTTTTGATGGAGCTTCAAAAACTGCGTCGATTGCCGCCAACCGCGTGAAAATCGGTTCATTCATTCAAAAGTTATTGCCGTTTGAAAATTCAAAAAATTGTGTCTTTAAACTGCTATTAGAGTTTTGAGCTCGAAGAGCTCAAAAACGTAATGTGTAGTTTGAAGCTTTTAAGTACAAAATGAGCGGGAAGTTGCAGGGATGGCCTTTAGGGTGAACCGTTTTTCTAATTTTTATTTCCTGGTTCATTTACAATGAAATTTCAGAAGCAAATTTATCAATCCAATTAAAATTTTAATGCTTCATACAAAAAAGAAATAAGATTTTTCAATTCTCTTTGTTAAATCTAATTTTACATTAGTTAATCGTAAATTAACGATCTAAAATTCCCACATAATCAAATTTAATATATCTTTTCAATAGGATCGTTAAAAAGAACAATTATTTGCCGTAGAATCATTACTGCAAGGTCATTTCCCCATAAGATAAAATAAAGCTATATCAAAGTTTAAAAAAAAACAATTTATCAATAGCAATTAATAACTGGGAGCTCGAGGACTTGAAAAAAATTTTTATTCAATATGAGTAAATTATTTCAATTGATTTTCAATTCCACGGCTAAAAATATTATTTTTTTTTTACAAGTTCAAATAATACTTCTCTGTTATATTTCTTCAGCCAATTCTATTTCGGTAAGTCAATTCAATTAATTATAATTATTAAATACTAATTTATTGAATTTAGTTAGATAAACGTCAGGAGATATACCGTAAACATGGCTGTGAAGGTAATTATCAATGATTTTCTGACAATTGAGGAAGTATTTTAATGAAAATTTTCAATTTAAAATTGTAGTAGGAAAATGCGACATTGTTAAAATAAAATTACCGAGTCGTCGAACAGGATCATTAAACTCAACAATATCTTTCAAATTGAAAGCATTTGGTACCGAGACAGTGCTAAACCTCCGTAAATCCAATGGGATTCTTGTTGGGGATAATACTCCAGTTTACTTTGGTAAATCCGTAGAATCTAAAGTGCCTGGTGAAAAACGTAAAGTGCTTCTTCAAAAACAATTGGGGGTAAGTAAAAATTGTTTTTTGATATTATAACTATCAAATGCAAAGATCGCGGCTTTTGAAAAAAATTTTTCTTCAATTTTAAGCTTCGATGTTTGCTAAGTGATTGACAAAAAAAAATATTTATCCTTTTTTTTTTCCCCGCGATTTATAATTGCAATTTAGTTGTTTAGTTCGAAAATACGCTCCCAACTTTATGAAGACGAAGCCAATTTTGCGATAGTCACACTTGACTTTGACTCTGATGGACCCAAAATAAAGGTAAAGATTCAAATGATTTATTATATTTACTAATATAGTAAATAATTGATTTTATTGATCGGTAGAATGGATTCGTCACCTCGAAAAATTTTACACTCAGTGAATTGCAAGAAAATTTTTCCAACGCCTCCCGAAACCATTTCTATCTAGCAAGATACATGTATGGTGACACCCTCGAAAAATTTAGCCACCGTATGTACTTTATAATCATTTATTAATTTATTATTGATTATTAAATAAACTACATAATTTTATAAATTGCAGCCCTTATAATTGATGGCCTTTCTGAGCAGCCAACACGAAAAATTCAGATTCCTGAGGTTATTCATCCCAAAATTTTGGTAGTTGTCGACTACAACGTCTACAAGCGTTTTGATAAGGAGACAATTATTCCATACCTGTTTTCATTTTGGTCGGGAGTCGATATGTTTTTCCGCCAGCTGCAGACCCCGGAGTACAAACTATCTATTGCTGGAGTTTTAATTGCTGAGGTAATAAAATATTTTTTTGCTCACAATATAATATTAAATTTAATTTCTTTATCCAGGATCTCCAGGTCTTAAAATTTATGATACCAACGAAAAAGAACAATACATCTCCAATGTCAATAAACTATAGTTTGGCATTGGACGCTATATCATCGTGGTTATTATCAGCAAAATCGGTAATTCCATTAAGTAGCTACGATCTTCAGATGATAATGACCCCGTAAGTCCTTATTTAATATTCCATTGGTATGATGGTGTAATAAACGGTGTCTAACAAAATTTACTTTGGAAAAGGTACACCTACGCTCATGAACGTCGAAATGAGACTGGTATATTTTACGATTATACTGCTGGACTGTCCTATATGCCATCGGCTTGCAATGGAATAAATTACAATCACCCAGACGGAGGAATAACAGCTGATCCTCATAATTTTCAGGGTGTTCTTAGAGCTGCTCATGAGTTAGGTCATGTGTAAGTACCAAAATCATTTATTAGCAGTTAATAAAGCTTGTTAAATGTGAACAAATCCTTCTGTAGATTTTATTAATTGATTTTGCTTACTTGAACTATTCTTCTAGATTTGGTTCGAACCATGATAGAAAAGTTCCATGTGACAATGATTTACCTTGTGAAGAACAATATTTAATGGCGCCTGAAGAAGTTTCATGGACAAAAACTAAATTCTCGGAGGCATCTATAGAACAATTTCGTAATATATTGGAGTCCGTAAAACTAATTGCTAAGTATAATTTATTCATATTTATATTTATGCTAATAATCAATTTAAATTATAGGGAACGCGATTTTTCATGCATGTACAATGAGCCAGACATTGAGAAGGATAAACCATTCAATATGATAGTGCCTAGCAAAGAACGATTGGTTGTTAGTAAATACGAATTTGTGGCCGACCAGGTCATCAAAATTTCCTACGATAATAATACTTTGATTGTCACCCAAGTGAACACTAGAAAATCATCAGTAGCGAAAAAGTTAGATGATAGTTTCCTTAAAATTGCCGTGACCGATGACAATGTTATAGAAGTTGATCCCGATAAAATTAGTCAATGGAGCAAAGTTAATATTTATCACGAAGATCAATTTATTTATGCGTATCAAGGAAGAAAGCCAGTACCAGAAAATTATAATAATGCACTTGAAAGCAATCCGAAAGACTTGAGCCCTGATTATTTCAAAAATGACGATACTAAAATGTGTTTCAATAAAACGGACTTTGATAGTGATAAATTAGTAAAAATTTATTATGAAAACAATAAAATACATGTATCGCAACGTAATGTGCCGGATTGTGAGAGTCCTAATGAGCGTAAAAGCTCATACTTGCAGTACATCGGGTCTGAGCTTGGAATTATCTATCTTTATTTAACTGAAATAAATTGGGACAAAAAAGTTTGTGTTCAGCATGATGGTAACTCTATATTTGTCTATCAAGGAGAGAAACCTGATTTAAATCGTCGGGAAAATAATTCTGGCAAGATAAAATACTTACCGGATGAATCTTATGTTAATAGAAAATTACCTGAATCTGAAGAAAGAAAACAAAGATCCGAATTTAATTTAACTTTAGACACTGAACATACTCTTTCAATATTTCCCAATAGATTCAATCGAACGAAACTGGTATCGATATCATTTGAAAATGATAAGCTAATTATATCTCAAGTAGGAACGTCTGAAGATAATACAGGAGGAATTATGATATTCGAAGATGAAGATTTAATGTTCATGACAAGTGACGTCAATAAATTACTACTGCATCCAATGCGATTAATTTCAAGAAAACAAATTCATATACGTCATGAAAATAAGAAAATAAAAGTTTGGCAGGGTTCTTCAGACAGTCCACCTGTTTTAAGTTTCAATTATCCCTATATTATTGAAATTTTAACACGCTAATTTTAGAGCTAAACAGGATCTTTCAACCATAATTGACGATATAACAAAAAGAAAAAAAAGTAAAAAAATCCCTGATTTTTCAAGAGAACATTTGAGATCAATTTTTAGGTACTGAAATTTTTCCACGCTTAATTGCGATTGTATGAAAATGGAAAGTCTTAGAAAAAAAATTTTTAATTCTTATTATAGTAAATTAAATATTCTGTACATTGAAAAATAGATAAAACTAATCGTACAATACATTTAGTGGTATTTTTATTTTCTGGTTCATTTACAATGAAATTTCAGAAGCAAATTTATTAATTCAATTAAACTTTTAACGCCTTATACAATAAAAAACATAATTTTTTTTGTTAAATCAAATTTCTCATTAGTTAATCGTAAATTAACGATCTAAAATTCCACATCATTAAATTCAGAGTATATTTTCTATAGGGTCGTTAAAGAGAACAATTATTTGCCGTAGAATCATTACTGCAAGGTCATTTCCCCATAAGATAAAATAAAGCTATATCAAAGTTTAAAAAAAACAATTTATCAATAGCAATTAATAACTGGGAGCTCGAGGACTTGAAAAAAATTTTTATTCAATATGAGTAAATTATTTCAATTGATTTTCAATTTCACGGCTAAAAATATTGTTTTTTTTTTACAAGTTCAAATAATACTTCTCTGTTATATTTCTTCAGCCAATTCTATTTCGGTAAGTCAATTCAATTAATTATAATTATTAAATACTAATTTATTGAATTTAGTTAGAGAAACGTCAGGAGATATACCGTAAACATGGCTGTGAAGGTAATTATCAATGATTTTCTGACGATTGAGGAAGTATTTTAATGAAAATTTTCAATTTAAAATTGTAGAAGGAAAATGCGATATTTTTGAAATAGAATCACTGAGTCGTCAAAAGAGATCAGTCGACTCAACAATATCTTTCTCATTGAAAAGATATGGTTCCGATAGAGTGCTAAACTTTCGTAAATCCGAAGGGATTCTTGTTGGGGACAATACTCCAGTTTACTTTGGTAAATCCGTAGGATCTGAATTGCTTCTTGAAAAACAATTGGGGGTAAGTAAAAATTGTTATTTGATATTATAACTATCAAATGCAAAGATCGCGGCTTTTGAAAAAAATTTTTCTTCAATTATAAGCTTCGATGTTTGCTAAGTGGTTGACAAAAAAAATATTTATCCTTTTTTTTTTCCCCGCGATTTATAATTGCAATTTAGTTGTTTAGTTCGGAAGTACGCTCCCAACTTTATGAAGATGAAGCCAATTTAGCGACGGTCGTACTTGAGTTTACCTCTGGTAAACCAGAGATAAAGGTAAAAATTTATTCTATTTATTTATTTATATATTCTAATAATTAATATAGTTTATAATTGACATTATTGATTGATAGTGTGGATATATCGCTTCGGAAAATTTAATCTTCAGTGGATTGGCTTCCAATGACTCTCAAACACAATCTTATCTAGCTAAGTTCGCCGACAGCGAAATTGGCACTATCGACGGTAAGTCTTTGATAATTATTTATTTACTACTAGCAGCCTTGCAGTCACTATGTGACTGCCGGGGCTTGTAAACTATAAATAAATAAAATTTTGTTTTATTACATAATGAATTTTGTTAAATTGCACTGTACTATCTTAAATATTGACGTTTTTAAAGATATAAGCTCATCCCGATGTTAGACGCATCAAGAGCTTTCATTTGACTACCCACATGCATTGAGTGTAACATCGTGATGAGCTTATATCTTTAAAAATGTCAATAGTTCTTAAGATACAAGGTAATTTCTTAATTATTGACATTTTTTAAGATATAAACTCATTTTGAGATTACACTCATCGAGAGCTTTCAATTGAGTACCCACATGGCATTTTTTATATATTTTATATATATGGTATTTGTGAAATATATAAATATATAAAATATATGAAAAATTGATGTGGGTACTCAAATGAAAGGTCTTGATGAGTGTAACATCAGGATGAGCTTATATCTTTAAAAATGTCAATATTTCACGAGATGCAGGGCCATTTCTTAATTATGTATCCTAGAGACAAAATTTCTTATATTGTCTTAATAATATAGATAAATTTTGAATTTCAGGCCTTCAAATTGGCAGCAAGCGTTGGAGGCCAAGACCAGAAATTCCGATTCCTGACTATATTTATCCCGAAATTTTGGTAATTGTCGACTACAACCTCTTCAAGCGTTTCAATAAGGAGACAATTATTCCATACTTGTTTTTATTTTGGTCGGGAGTCGATATGTATTTCCGTCAGTTACAATACCCGATGTTCAAATTATCTATGGCCGGGGTCGTAATTGCAGAGGTAATAAAATATTTTTCCAGTCGTAAAAAAAAATTAAAAATTTTTTTTTTAAATAATAAATTGAATCTATAAAATTATTTTTAAAAAATTGTATTAATAATTTTTAAAAATGTAATTTTTTTAATTACTTACCTTTATCCAGGATTTTCAAGTCTTTGATTTTATGATGCCCCAAAAAATGCGGACAACAATGTCAGTAGACTTCGACACGGCAGTCAACAGCATGAGTAACTGGTTAATTCAAGAAAAATCTCTAATCCCATTTAATAGCTACGATCTTTTCATGATTATGACTCCGTAAGTATTTTTTAAAAATTCTATTGGTCTAATGGTGTCTTTAAATAAATTTTTTTCGGATTTTTGCAGCTACACTGATGAATCGAATGATCGTCAGTCTAATATTGGATTAGGCAAAAAGTATGCGGCTTGCAATGGAATAAATTACAACCACCCAGTGGGAGGAATAATAGCTGACCCTAATAATTTTAAGGGTATTTATAGAGCTGCTCATAGTTTAGGTTATATGTAAGTATCAAATAATTGATTTTTCAAAGAAAAATCAATAAGTGGGTAATTTTTTGATTTTTTTTTCTTAATAAAATAGGTATAAAAAATTATTTTTAAAAAATTCCATTTATAATTAAATTTTTTCAATAAATTCTTCTGGTTATAATTTATTTTTAATTAAAATAAAACATTAAATAATTTTGCTCGATTAATATTTTCAAGGTTTGGTGCAGAACCGGATAGTGAAGAAAAATATATAATGTCGGCTGAAGAATCACTTCCAATAACTCGTTGGTCAGCAGGTTCCATAGAACAAGTAAAAAGTCAACTAAAGTATGTAAAAATAATTATAAGATATAATTTATTAATATTTATATTTATATTAATATTCAATTGAAATTTTAGTGAGCGCGATTTTTCATGCATGTACAATAGGCCTGAGATTTTGAAGAATAAACCATTCCATATAACATTGACTGGCAACAGACGAATGGTTGTTAGTAAATACGAATTTGCGGCCGATAAGGTCATAAAGATTTACTACGAAGATGATACTTTGATTGTCACCCAAGAAAACACGAGAAAATCATCAGTAGCAAAAAATTTAGATGATAGTTTCCTTAAAATTGCCGTGACCGATAACAATGTTATAGAAGTTGATCCCGATAAAATTAGTCAATGGAGCAAAGTTATTATTTATCACGAAGATCAATTTATTTATGCGTATCAAGGAAGAAAGCCAGTACCAGAAAATTATAATAATGTACTTGAAAGCAATCCGAAAGACTTGAGCCCTAACTATTTCGAAAATGACGATACTGAAATGTGTTTCAATAAAACGGACTTTGATAGTGATAAATTAGTAAAAATTTATTATGAAAACAATAAAATACATGTATCGCAACGTAATGTGCCGGATAATGAGAGTCCTAATGAGCGTAAAAGCTCATACTTGCAGTACATCGGGTCTGAGCTTGGAATTATCTATCTTTATTTAACTGAAATAAATTGGGACAAAGAAGTTTGTTTTCAGCATGATGATGCCTCTATATTTGTCTATCAAGGAAAGAAACCTGATTTAGATCGTTGGGAAGATAATTCTGGCAAGATAAAATACTTACCGGATGAATCTTATGTTAATAGAAAATTACCTGAATCTAAAGATAGAAAACAAAGACCCGATTTTTATTTAACTTTAGACACTGAATATACTCTTTCAATATTTTCCAATGAATTCAATCAAAAGAAACTGGTATCGATATCATTTGAAAATGATAAGCTAATTATATCTCAAATAGGAACGCCTGAAGAAAATAGAGTAGAGGAAAATATGTTATCTGAAGATGCAAATGTGATGTTCTTTACAAGGGATGTTAATAAATTGTTACTGCATCCTGGGCGAGTAACTTCTAAAAAAATAATTCATATACTTCATAAAAATAAGAAAATAAAAGTTTGGCAGGGTTTTTACGACAGTCCGCCTTCATTAAGTTTCAATCATCCCGATATTATTGAAATTTTAACTGAGAATTCTAAATCTTCAACCATAATTGACGATATTAAGCTGACTGTAGAAAACGATGAAGTGTTGGAAATATTTTCTGGAGAGTTTGACCCCCTAAAATCGGTGTTGGTCGTTTTTAAAAACAATAAACTGGAAGTAACACAAAAAAAACAAGATCAAAAAATCCCTAATTCTTCAGGAGGGTACCGAAAATTGAAACTTATCCAGCCGGATTCGGAGACAATAGAGTTTTTTCCAGTTCAAATAGATCCTACGGTTGAAATTAGAATTCGACATCAAAATGGTAAAATTTATGTATGGCAAGGTTCTCAGATGCCAAGAATTCGTAAGGCTTTGCCTTAGATTGTTCAAACCTTTGAGTTTGGTTCATAATTATCAAATCAATAATCGCAATTAAGGTTTTAGATCAATTGCGTAAAAATGGCTGGAAAGTCTCAGAAAGAAATTGAAATGTTAATTATAGCTAATTAAATGTTATGTATACTGAAAAATATATAAAACTAATTGTACAATAAATTTATTAGATTTAATAAAATCCTATAATGAAATTAAGGTAAAAAATATGTCCTATAATAAAATTAAGATGAAATATATGTGAAGCCAATTTATTCGTAACGTGATTGGTCAAATATATCATAAGCATGTAAATATATGCAAATTCTATATTCAGGCGCGCGCATATTAACTTCTAGTGTACAAAATAATATAAAGAAAGCGCATTTTGATTGCGTAGATTTTATGAAGCAAATTTAATATTGCAATTTTAATAACGCGATTAAGCTAATAAAAGTTAACAAAATTCAGTTTAAATATCTAAATTAAATAAATAATCACAAAAATTTTTTTTAAAGATATCTCTAAGCTTCTTGAATCTACAATACTAATAAGTTTATCAGGCACCAGACTCGTATATTACATGATGCAAGATTTGCGCTCTTAAATGATAATAACTTTCTTATATTTAAACAATACAATCTTGTTGCTAATTATCAAAACAATTATTTAAACCTGGTACTGTCAATCTGAGTTAGTGGCTTTGTAACAACATCACTTGGGAAATAACCAACTTAATGGCGTTAATTATGGACAATTGTTACAATGATTATTTTTTTTTGGTTGCAATTGCTAACACATCAATAGTCTATTCATTTAGAAATCTATCTATTAAATTACTGTATTATTTATAAGTCATCTTGTCATACATTATAAATTTTTTTTTTATATACTAACTACTGTAACTATTAACCCTGTTAATGACTTGAGCCGTTGGGTTTATTTTTATAAATAAATAAATTTCCATCTATTTAATGGAATTTTACTCTTGCATTCGTTTCAGAAATAATATCTCCGTAAATAAATTAATAAATTTTGTAACAAAATTATTTCTCAAATTTTAATTGACATGTCTAGATAATCTAGTTTAATTATATCTACGTCAAAAAATAATCGAGATTATCACTTTCATTACACTCTATTTAGGGCTATTTTGTAATTTCTTTTATCTTCGTTCTACTTTTAGTATTAATTAAAAATTCAGGTGACACTCTTATCTTGACCTTAAAATTACGTAGGATATAAATAAGCGCTCATAAATTTTGGGCCAGTAAACTTTAAATTTTTGTTCTAAGACCGTAAAAATGAAGCTATTGATATTAAGCGGTCTTTTTATCGCCGAGGTAAGTTTAATTTTTTATTTTTTATAAACTTTATAAGTTTATAACTAATTCAATTACTTTTTTAGGTAACAAGTCTCCTCGTCGACTCAAACACTCCCGTCCATTTGTTGAAAACTACCAACTCTGGTCTAATAAAAGACACCAAAATTGGCGTAAATATTTAAACAATTTTTTTTTTATTAATTAAATAGGATAAATAAATCTGTAAATTTAACTTGTAAACTTTCAGCTGTTTGATAGAAGCAAAATTTCAAAATTTTGGAATATCTATCAAACTCTTCCGTCTAATTCTATTGAAGAGTCCGCTGAGATAAGCAGAGTAAGTATTTTTTTATTTGACTCTTTAATAAATTCAAACTTTTAATTAATCTTTTATTTCTTCTAGTACTGCAATGTGAAGAACAACCGAGTTGGTAAAATCCTCCGTAGAGTTAATAGTAAACCTTCGGAAGAAAACGTTGATCTTGGAATTTGGGACACTTTGGGAAGCTGTAAGTATAAGTTTATAATTTATAAAATAAAATAATTCAGATTGTTAAGGATTAAAACTTTTTTATGTCAACTTTATTTCAATTCATCGACGTTTCGCAAGCGCGCGCGCCTGAATATAGAGTTTGCATAGATTTTCATGCTTATGACATATTTGACCAACCATATGTTACGAATAGTTTGTAACACATATTTTTCATCCTAATTTTATTATTGGATTTATTATTTTCTTAAGAAAACTTTATTTATTAAAATTATTGTAAATTTTAGGGTTTAGTTATGAGCCCATCAGAAGACCAGTCAAACCACACACTCCTACGCCAGATGTTATTTACCCAGAAATTTTAGTTATAGTTGATTACGAGCTGTACGCTTCTTTTGACACTCTAAATGAACTAATCAGTCGATTGTACGCTTTTTGGGAGGGCGTTGATCAACTTTATGCGCCCTTAAGTAATCCCAAATTTAAGCTGAGCATTGCTGGTGTTTTGGTTCCAACAGTATGTAATATTTTATTTCTTCTTCAATTTTTAATTATTTTTAATTGGTGGAAATTTTTAGAAGCATTTTTTCTTTGTATTCTAAGAAGAAAAATTTAATAATTTATTTTTTAAAATAGGATCCAGATGTATTTGAATTTTTAAAAGGATCTTCGAGTTTCTTCAGCTGGTCCAGCGGTTTCGATTACGAAGACGTTAAATATAGCATGGATTCTTGGTTATACAAATACAAAGCAACATTTTCTGATGATGACTACGATCTATTCGTAATAATGACTCCGTAAGTAATTGTAACTATAATTACTAATTAATAGCTTACAATTATTTTAAAAATTTTCTTCTTTTCTTTAGTTCAAGAGACAATGCGCTGTTTTCAACAACAATTGGACTAGCCACAGTCGGAGGAGTTTGCAATATAGACAATTACTCTCAAAGATTATCGCGAGGAGCAATAATCTTCGAAACTCCTAATTTTAAGGACACTTTGACGGCAGCGCATGAATTAGGACACTTGTAAGTAATCTAGATTATTAAAAGAATAAGAAAAATTTTGTTTCCAGGATACATAATTAAGAAATTACATTGTACCTTGTAAACTATTAACATTTTTAAAGATATAAGCTCATCCCGATATTACACTCATCGAGACCTTTCATTTGACTACCCACATCAATTTTTCATATATTTTATATATTTATATATATATTACATATATGTATATATATATATATATATATATATCAAAAATATATCAAAAATGCATGTGGATACTCAAATGAAAGCTCTTGATGAGTGTAACACCGGGATGAGCTTATATCTCTAAAAACTTCAATATTTAAGAAAGTACAGTGCAATCTAACAAAATTTATTATTTAATTAACCATTTTTTTTATAAATAAATAAATTAACAATTTTTTTATTTTAAGATTCGGTTTGCATCATGATGGGGATGTTGGATGTGGAAATAAAAATATAATGTCAGAAATCAACGAAAAATACAACACTGAGTGGTCAAGTTGTTCTCAGGAAGGTTTACGACAGTATTTAAGGTATGTAATTGCATAAATATTGATTTATTTATTTATTTATAATAAATTATAATGGGTGAATAATTGATTAAAATTATTATTTTCAGTAATTACGAGCCTACATGCCTGTACAACAAACCGAAAAGTTTAAACATGTAATATTTAATAGAGAAAATTGTACATATAATTTAACATAATTTTTTAACATTTGTAAATCTTAATAAATTAAAAATAAAATAATCATACTTCCTAATTAAGATATCTAATTTGAAATAATTTAGTAGCATCCGATTTGACATTTTTAAAGATATAAGCTCACTCCGACATTACACTCATTGAGACCTTTCATTTGAGTACCCACATCAATTTTTTATATATTTATGTATATTATATATATAAGTACCGAAAATTAATTTGTTTAATTAAATTCATTAAACCAAAGTTTGTCCCAGGCATTTTAAGATCAGTCCCCTGCCAGAAGTTCAAAGCCAAAAAAAAAATCCAGCGTGTTTTTAACAGGGCTGTTAGCGCTTTATCGGCATTTTATTTAGTGTTAAAGCACCGTTTGTGCTGGAAATATGTGTCTGGGCCACTTAAAAACGTCAGTCCCCTGGCAGCTATTTTTATTTATAATTTATTTATAAAATTCGATCCATAAGTCTTAATATTATTTTAATTTATGTAAACATTCATTGAGAACTTGAAAAGTTCAATGCATTGAAATAGTTTGCTTGATTCTTAAAAAAAAAAAAAACAGTCCCCTGTGATGTTATATGGCATTAGATACACAAATATCGAAAAAGCAAAAATTAAATCTGTTTATTTATTATGATTAAGATAGTTTTGTAGCCCCTGTTAATTTTTTTTCTAATAAAATCAAAAATAATTTGGTCGGACAATTTTGTACAGATTTAAGACGTCGTTACAGAGAATCACCCATATATAGAATGAAAAAATCTTATTATAAGAAATTATTGGTTGTACCACGAAATCTCCCCGACAAAATACGCTTCAAAATCTCGTTGTGCCCCTTTATCATGATTTTTTGTGTATATTTACACGAAAAATACCATCAAAACTGTCAGGAATAATAATATTATTATTTAAAATTAGATTTTGTCGGGGAGATTTTGTCGTGTCACCAAATTATTAACTAATCATTAAAAAATTTTTTTGCGCTAAGTATAGCTGAATATAGATCTGATAAAAACTCTAATATACTTTAATTAGCATACCTAACCATCAGTCTAGACAAAAAATTACTTACTCTCTTTGTCTATTTAATGGAATTTTACTCTTAAAATAATATCTACGTAAATAAAGTAATAAATTTTGTAACAAAATTATTTCTCAAATTATAATTGACATGTCAAGATAATCTATTTTCATTATATCTACGTCAACAAATAATCGAGATTATCACTTTCATTATACTCTATCTAGGGCTATTTTGTAATTTCTTTTATTTTAATTCTACTTTCAGTATTAATTAACAATTAAGGTGACATTCTTATCTTGACCTTAAAATGACTTAGAATATAAATGAGCGGTCATAAATTTTGAGCCAGTAATCTTTGAATTTATGTTCTAAGACCGTAAAAATGAAACTATTGATATTAAGCGGTCTTTTTATCGCCGAGGTAAGTTTAATTTTTTATTTTTTATAAACTTTATAAATTTATAACTAATTCAATTTTATTTTTAGGTAACAAGTCTCCTCGTCGACTCAAACACTCCCGTCCATTTGTTGAAAACTACCAACTCTGGTCTAATAAAAGACACCAGAATTGGCGTAAGTATTTTAATAATTTTTTTTCTTTACTAAAAATAATTAAATATGATAAATAAATCTGTAAATTTAACTTATAAACTTTCAGCTGTTTGATAGAAGAAAAATTTCAAAATTTCGGAATTCCTATCAAACTCTTCCGTTTAATTCTATCGAAGAGTCCGCTGAGATAAGCAGAGTATGTATTTTATTATTTGACTTTTTACTAAATTCAAACCGTTAATTAATCTTTTATTTCTTCTAGTACTGTAATGTGGAGAACAACCGAGTCGGTAAAATCCTCGGTAGAGTTAATAGTGAGCCTTCGGAAGAAAAAGTTGGTCTTGGAATTTGGGACACTGTAGGCAGCTGTAAGTACACTGATAAAAAGATTTATTAACTATTAATAATTTAATTTATTTGAAGACAATTATTTAAGGTAGTTTGATCTCCGCATTCCGAAGTCAAATTAATAGATATTTTTTTTTCTTTTTTGCAAGAGACCACTCGAAAAATAGTATAAAATATATAATTATTTCTAATCAGAATTTAATTGATTAAATTCAATTGATAATTATGGTCAAATAATTATAATAATATAACTATTAAAATATCAACTGACAAGTACTGGGCTGTCACAAAACAATAACAACTGTTATAGGTTATGTAAAGTCGGTACTTAAAACAGTTGCTCATATGGTGTTAATTTATATTGTTTAAATTTGCAAATATCACTTCAATATACTAAATCTGCTATAATTTACCTCAACTTTTAATGTATGCTTAATAACAATTTATTTTAATCCAAAAAAACTTTATGATTATATTTCAATTTCAAATTTGCCGCGCACCGAGAAGTCGCCATCTTTTCCCTAATAAAGATGGGGGAGTAATGTCTCCGACAAACAACAAAGAAAGAAACCAATTTTTGATATTAAAAAATTAATTAAATTAAAACTATGTGGTAAATCGTTATCAAATTTTGATAGAATATGTATGAAACATTGTTCTATCTATTGGAAAGTTTTTTTTATTGGGTCAAGTTGGTTGATTTTTTATAAATCCTCCATTTTCGGAGTTATTGAACAAGGACACTCATAAGAGACCGTATATTTTTGCAAAACTTTAATTAATTATATCTCTTAAACGGTGTGGTAAAAAAATCTGATTTTTTTTCTATAGATGTATTAAATCATAATCTTTCGAATAAATATAAAAAATATGGGGTCAAGTTGAAGTCATTTGGAGCCCAAACTACCTTAATTTATTAAATTTTAATAAATATTTTTTATTATTCAATAAAATATTTATTAAATCCTATGATGTTAAAAAATTATTTATTAACAGTTAATAAAGCTTATTAAATATTAAAAAATCCTTCTATCAGTCTTTAAGTTTAAGTTTATAATTTATTTTTTTTTTTTTTTAAATATTTATTAAAATTATTGTAAATTTTAGGGATAGGTTATGAACCCAGCGGAAGATCAGTCAGACAACACACTCCTACGCCAGATGTTATTTACCCAGAAATTTTAGTTATAGTTGATTACGAGTTTTACGCTTCTTTTGACACTTTAAATGATCTAATCAGTCGATTGTATACTTTTTGGGAGAGCGTTGATCAACTTTATGCGCCCTTAAGTGATCCCAAATTCAAGCTGAGCATTGCTGGTGTTTTGGTACCAACAGTATGTAATATTTTATTTCTTCTTTAATTTTAAATTATTTTTAATTAGTGGAAATTTTCAGAAGCATTTTTTTGTTGTATTCTAAAAAGAAAAATTTAATAATTTAATTTAAAATAGGAACCAGATGTATTTGAATTTTTAAAAACATCTTCAAGATTCTTCTTCTGGTCCAGCGGTATAGATTATGAAGACGTTAAATATAAAATGGATTCTTGGTTATACAAATACAAAGCAACATTTTCTGAAGATGACTATGATGTATTCATATTAATGACTCCGTAAGTAATTGTAATTACAATTACAATTAATACATGACGAAATTTTTAAAAAATATTTGCTTTAGTTCAAAAGACAGTCCACTATTTTCATCAACGATTGGACTAGCCACGATCGGAGGAGCTTGCCATGTAGACAATTGGTCACAAAGACTATCCCGAGGAGGGATAATTTACGAAACTTCTAATTTTAAGAACACTTTGACGGCAGCGCATGAATTGGGACACTTGTAAGCAATCTATTATTTGAAATTACCTTGTACCTTGTGAACTCTTGACATTTTTAAAGATATAAGCTCATTCTAATGTTACACTCGTCGAGACCTTTCATTTGAGTACCCACATCAATTTTTCATATATTTATATATTTCACAAATACCATATATATAAAATATATATAAAATGCCATGTAGGTACTCAAATGAAAGATCTCGATGAGTGTAACTTCGGGATGAGCTTATATCTTAAAAAATGTCAATAATTAAGAAATGACCTTGTATCTTGTCAATTATTGACATTTTTAAAGATATAAGCTCATCCCGATGTTACACTCATCAAGACCTTTCATTTGAGTACCCACATCAATTTTTCATATATTTTATATATTTATATATATTACATATATGTATATATGAAATATATATCAAAA